ACCAAAAATAAACGCATGAAAAAAGGCTTGCAGAGGTTAATTGATAACATAAAAAAACTTTATTTTCGCAATCAAGGACAAGGATTATGAAACATTATTAATGTGTGTTAAATTGAATAATAATAATAATAAGTCTAATCCCCTTTTTTGAATTTTTTCTATCAAGAAAATCTGTTACAAAATTGAAATCGCAACTTTCACATAATGATCGAAAATATAATAAAAATTCACATTATTAATTTAAGTTCCTTTTATCATTTCTAAAAGGGAAGGGTAAAAACATAATTTTAATTGAGTTTAATATTTCCTAATTGAAATAAGCTTTTGATCTTTTTGATTTAAGGATAGCATAGTTTCTAAATTCATTGTTGTCTAATTTTCAATCCTTATTGATTATGCCAAATCAATCCATTTGATAAGATTAAAATGAGGAATGGCAAACTCTCAAGAAAATGATTGTAGATAATTAACTTGTAAGGAGAACCTTTAGAAAATTCAAGAGTAAAGATGTTGTATTTAAAAATTTTATTACAAGTATTTTAGAAATCTAATAAAAGCCATTGTAATAAAATATTGAATATCTTCTTAAAAAGAGCTTTAGTTCAAAATGTCAAAATAAAAAATTACAGAATGTGAGAAGTGCTTAAAAATTACATTTCTCGTATCCAGATCTGCTCCTTAGACTCTTTCTCAAACTCCTAATAGTACATAATCAGTAACATTATAATCAGTAACTAAAAGGAAGTTTTATATACCCTTAATGTTGAAGCACATTATTCTTTCCAATATAGAAGGGAAGCATCCTATATTATATACATATTATCCCACGGTACATTTTCCTATTTCAATCGCACATCATTGATGATTCTTTCGTCGCGTCTGGGGTAATAACAAGATACATAAAGTTATCCCTGTCTATTTATTAGTTTGTTAATATTGAAAATCCCTTCTATAATCTCCCTTAATCCTTCGGCTCTGACCCTTGCTAATATTCGTAAATAGAGACGTCTATAAATTAAGCGAATGCTCCTTCGCACTTTATTCCCTAGCTAAATTATTATCTTTTTTCCCTCCCCCCCTTCACTTTTTATTATTCTACTTTATTCTAATTTCATCAGTATTATCTCCAATACCTTATAATAATCGTTCTATATACATAATTTCTAATATCCAAGGTTTCAATTGCTAACATTCAGCAATATCGTATGTAGTAAAATTCAAATCATCCACCATTATATGATATATTGAGTTTCATTTTCTATTCTCATTTACTATGATAGGGCTCGTAGTTGGGAATTCCTCCTAATGATGTATAACAATCATTACCTTAAAGCCTTCTTACAGTGTTTTAATAAATTCAATAAAGTTAAATTTTGTTCAAACTTGATTGTGCATTCTGATCTTTTCAGAGTACAGATCAAATCGATATTTTCATCCTATCCTTTATATTATCCTAGGAAAAGTGTACTAAACATTTTTCGGTTGACTTTTTCTCCTCTAACCATATATCATTTATGTAAATAAGAAGTCAATCTCCAATTCAATTAAAGCTATACTTATCTTAGGTGTAAACCTTTATCAGGTAATTATTCTATAAAAAAGAATAGGGAGTATATTTTGTTTTTCAAGATTAATAATTGAAAAATTTCTGAATGTCCAGAATGGCTAACTAAATTCGAAACGAAATTGATAATTATAAAAAGCAATTTATAACATATAATTTCAATTCACATCTATTAGTTTTTATTGTTAATTTTTACTGTTCGCTTAGCTAAATAGTTATAATAAATATTGTATTATTATTAAAAAGAATACGGAGAGAGATAATTGATTTTCAGAAAACTTTCTATATATATATGAAGATATCACTTTTTTATGATATTTATTGTCAAAAAAGTGAAACTCGATTGAACATCAGTTTGTTCTTTAACAAAATCAAATTCAGAAAAGTTTCACTAAACATAAATCTTATGGTTCACCTTATGGGCTAAAATAACCATTTAACAATTGAGCTTTGATGGCCCTTCAGTTGAAAATCTGTGATTTTTTTCATGATTAGATAAATTACATATAAATATAAACAATATCATCTTGTCTAGCTGATATCTGCATCAGTTTAAAGTAAATACTTACTCTAGAAGAGTATTTATAATTATCAGCATGTTAATTTGAAACTCTTTAATTACAAAATCAAATTTTAGAAAAAGATCAAGCTCTAAACTTTAAAGGAAAATCTATAATTTGTTTATGATTATATTGATAGAGGTTTGATCTTAGAAAATTTTATAGAGTATTAAGAACAACAATTAATATTTGATTTTATTATCAAAATATTCTCACCTCTTTTTTCATTACCAAATGACATTTTAATAATTATTATTTCAATAACTTTGCATCATACTCTCATTAACTATTAGTTTTGTCAGCATATTTCACATTAATTCATATTGAAAAATATTTATGAAATACATATTTAAAAAATTACATATTGAATTTTTGAATACAAATAATAATTAGTATTAGCAAGATAATAGTTTTTGCTAAAATATATTGAATTAAAAGAAAGCAAGAAAAAAAAAAATTAGTTGACAGCCAATAAGGTATTTGAGGATAAATTTTACCTAAAAGCACTAATTATATTTTCAAAAGAATATATCTATAATCTCCAAAACCATTTGCTAATTTTATTATAAATAGAAGTTAATTAGTATCCAAAACCATTTGCGAGGGTCTCTCTAGAAGTATCTTCTAAACCAGTGGCCTTAGCGAATCGCGAACGGGAGGTCTAGGCTAGGAGATTAGGTAAGCACAAAAGGTCTTCCGGAATTTGCAGTTGGTACTTTTTGCCTTCGAGTAGAGAGTTTTTCTCTAATTTCGACCAAGCCCAACCCAATAATTCAGACAGTAGTTATGACAGTTACTCTCGTCCTATCTCCTAGATTGTTCAACTTGCAATGGCACAAAAAATTTTGCTCAAAGGTTGGATTACCATGATATTTCTTATGGTAGCATCTAATTGCAAAAGTTAGCAGCATTTAAGACCATCAAAACAATTGGTATTCACGAATTTCTAGAAAAACCAAGATTGGGGCCAGCACATCATAGTTGGCTACATTGGATTTCAAGCCTTAGCATGGATTACAAGACCAGTCCTCTGAAAATCAGTTTTCTTCAGAATTAGAAATCGATTTAATATAGTCTATTAAAATTTTGCTCTGTTTAGTAATTGTTTCAATTCTAAATTCTAGAAAATTCTTTGAGGTTTTTAAACCTTTTTTTCAGAGAAATAAGCATTAATTAAAGTAAATTTTAAATAAATTATGGGATTAAAACTGAAAGCAATTTGGATTTGGTGGATAAATGTTAAAACTTGTTAAATCGATATCCCAAACATTAACCAAACGACATTAAGTCTGCTTTAATTGTTGGATTAACAGTACAGTTTTCAGCTTCTTATGTGGAGCATAGTTTGATCTACATGAAAACGGTTCATTCACTATAATCAATAACAAAAAAGAGGTTTCTCCAATAAGCGACTGTATCAAATCTGTTACAAAGTCACCAAATTTCTATTACAATGAAGCAGAGAATCATTTAATTATTGATTTAAAGGGTTTTAAGATACAAATGGTGAAGAGGATCAATTATTATAAGACCTTCTATTTAATAAAATTATTTCTTTTGGTCTTTTAAAGGTTATTTAATCCTTGACCTACACTTCAAAATAGAGGGACTGACCTCTAAAAATTCATAAATTCTCTTGATACTTAAAACAAAAATATATCATTTGATTTGATCTTAAATAGTTATGTTGGAGGGTAGTTAATTGAAGAATTAGAGAAGAAAATGCGATAGGATCTCTCTCAATATGTAAAGTACATAAGAAATATCTCCGTCTTGAAAGGGGCTGTAAAATAAGGGGATATTAATCAAATATTTAATTAAGAATCAAGACAAGACTTGGTCTTGTATTGAAACATTGAATCCTTGTGAATATGCTCCATGAAAACTGCATCAAAGCGAAAAAATAAGTTAATATATCATAATGAAGCATTAAAGATAATCTAATCTTACGCATTTGCTTTGGATAAAAATTTTCAAATATAAATTGCAAATTTAAAGAATATATCATCAAACGAAAAAATTTGGATGCCTAAATATAAGTAAAGAAATTGGAATAATTGATACTGATTCAAACAAATAAAACATCTTATGAGTGGTTTGAAGCGTTTATTTTCACATGTCAAAACATTTTAACGACAATTGACCCCAATGTTACTTACCAAAAATGGGATAACTTCTAAACAGTCTTTAAATATTTTGAGGAGTTTTCCAATCTAATTGATGGATATAAAAATATTGAATTTGCAAATACATTTGCAAAATCTTAATTAGCATAAATAAAATCATATTTGAATCATTTATCAATAAGCACGTTAAATCAAAATAAAATAAGAATAAGATGAAATTGAAAAAAAATTATTATAGGAAAAAGAAAAAAAGGAAAAAAAGTTGAGAGAAGTGAAAATGAAAATGAAAAATTGAAAAAAGAATGTTAACACTCTAAAATCAAAAATAAGATACTTTTGTGATCGAGAAGTTGATATCTCAATTAAACGAGGATAGGAAAATGAGGGCATCTTAATCCTAAAACATAATGGACAAAAGAGAAAAAGAAGAAAAAGAAATTAGAGAAAGGTTTTAAGGAATAATATTAAATGGCTCTGTTTTTTTATAAAAGCTACTAACAAAAATAATCACATAGAAATGTAGCAAAGAGCAATTCAAGTCTTAATTATATTTAAAAATAAGCGCATTCTGAAATAAAGAGCAAATCCAAAAATTACAGAGTATTAAAAATGTTATTATTAAACCTAATCACACAGAAATTTGAAATTAAATGGGCCTCCTCTCAGCCCTGAAAATATACTTATAGTTATTACTAAAAATGAAATGTCAACTTAGTCACCTGAATCCAAAGTTTTCGATCCTATATTAATCAAAACCAGAAAAGTAAAGACTCTCAAAAATTTGCTGATGTAATTGAGACTATAATAATAGAAATAAATTGAAGTCATCGATATTTTCTATTATTGAAAAAATCAAAATTAAGGGTTTATATAAATTATAAGCAAAAATTAAAAATTTGAATTGCAGAATTATTAAATTATTCTTTTCATTTAGAAAAAAGGAAAAGCAGAAAAAAAAAAGTTGAATGTTTTTGATATGAATAAAAACTTTTCAATGAATTTGAGTCCAAGTAAAGGGTAAAGAATGAATTGTTTATCAAATATTTACTTGCCAAAATTATTAATTTATCTACTTACTCAATTTTGAGCATGATTACATTTTGGCGAAAAAGAGATATTGATCATGAATTTTGTGAAAATTAAGGGAATTTACCATTTCGATTAGAAAAAAAATTAGTTCTCAGTTATTAAAAATACTAAAATGTACAGAAATGCAACTGAATTAATATTTTTGGGCTCCAAAATAGAGGAGTGCAATTCCAATTTCTGCATTATTTTAAAATAGAGTGATATGTGAACGAAATTTCAAGCATTAGAAAAAAAATATGTCTAAATAGAAATCAATTTCCTTCCCCACGCCTGAAATAGCAAGTCTATCTCCGCAGAAAAATTTCTTAATTTCAATCGCTAATTTTAGGTCAATATTGAATAACGAGATGATAAGCTACTTTATGAAGTCTAGAACAATATTTCTTTCTACTTTATAAATATTATCCATGCTTTTCAACTTTTTTTGGCTTGTTCATGATTTTACATTCCTAAATAATTGTGCATATTGTGTTGGCTTGGTCAATAAAGTAAAGAAAGGAAGCGTTTAGTAATTTACAAAAAAAAGGAGAAAAATGATTTTGAATTTCCTTATCATTATTCCATTTTCGAAAAAAAATCATCCTGATTTCAACATAACTGTGTCTAATAATCATTTAATTTCAATTCTTATTTGAGAAATTATTGTAATTCAAAAACTAATTCGATTTAATAGAACAAGAGCACTATTTCTATTTTATATTGTCTCCAACTAGCTCCCAACTTATCAAATATATATAAGCTTAATTTAAAATTCCTAACTTACATGAATCTTTTTTATCTCCACATTAAGAAATTGTCAGAAGAAATTTTGAAGAAATACTTTTTCACAAGCTCTTATATGATTATCACTAACATCTAAAGTGAGCTGTACTGATTCATAAATCTCCTCATAAGGCTCAGGCCCATCATCTGTTTATCTTATGCAAGCAACTTTAGAAAAAGACATTACTTAAATAATTAATACATAGAAGTTCCTTAATAGAATGTACAACTGAACTTATTTGCTTTCCTATTTAAGAAAATCCATAAGCAAATCTGACGTAAAATAAAATGTCTTCTTTATTATCTATTTTAAAGGTAACCTATTTTGCAGTTCTAAATTAATAGTATGAAAAGAGATTAATCATTATTAATGTTCTTTATTTAGGTCTGAGAAAACTAGTAGAGGTCATTACAAATGTTTTGTAAACATAATCCTGTATGCTAGATATTTTTCAAAAATAGAATTTAAACACTATTCTATTTAGTATTAACAACTCTATTTGAAAGATTACAAAAAATTGAAGGCATAAAGAAAGCTGTAATTACTATTTCATATTATTTTAATCATAACATTTTGAAAATCATAATTTAATCTTCAAGCATGACTGAAAATGAGGCTATTGAAAAAATTGTAATAATGAGAATTTTTATTTAATGAATGATATGATATTTTTTCTTGTAAATGGCATGATCTTAGTGCAGAGTATTTAACTTTGATAATACATTATTTATTAATTAATATTTCCAATTATAAATATATTTTCACTAGTATTATAAATTTTTAAGTTTTTTCAAAGAAGTTTAGCCGATATTTATAATGTAAATTATAATATTCAGAAAAACATTGTGTTTTTTTCATTTTTAGACAAGTACAAAGGTTATTCTTTGAAAAGTCGAAAAAAACAAAGGGTTGGGAGTATTCTTTAAGATTTTTTAATCAGCATTAAATAATAAACTTTTTCAAAAGTAATTATATTAAATTTAATGGGAAATGGTATTTGCCACATTGGAGAAGTGAATGTGTAAGAATTAAAACGCTCCCACGATAAAATATAAGTTAATCATCTAATAGAACTTCCCAATTCATTCGCTTAAAGTCCTTCTAAACCAACAATAGAAACACAAAACCCAACAATTAGTTTAAATTAAGATGATTGCTATGATATCCTTTTAACAAGTTCTTTAGATATGGTTCATTTAGATTAAGATGCAACATCATTAAAAAAGTATGACTACAAAGGCAAAACTAAGATAAGTACATTGCCGATATTGTCTGAATTAGCAAAAGATTCATTGAATTCAGGCAATCTAACTGAGCTATAGCTTCCTCATAGCTCAACGATTGAACCGAAGCCCATTTTAAAATTATGTGAGTAATTAAAGAGTAATTAAAGCAAAAAGAAAGTAAGATTTAATGATGATGATTGAAATTTTGAATTAAATATGTTTATTACAGTTGATTTACTATATCTTAGATACGAGAAAAGTCTTGTAATTACAATTTATTAAAAATTATAATTTTAATTTTCATTATTTTATGAATCGACACTCAGGTTATTGAGATGAACGAAATATTAGTAAATTTGATGTTAATTTACTTCAATAAATGAAAGAAAGCATATATTATATAATTTTTATATATTTCTTTTATATCATTATAGGTAATTGTAAAGCATTTGTAGTTGAACAAAAGCATCGTTAAATTGATCTTGCTTTTAATAAAGCTATTGTTTCAAAATGGATGCTTTTTAAATGAACTATTGTTGCCATAGAGCAGACTTTTTTTGGGAAACTCGTTGTTGAATGGAAACAAACAAAGAATCATAGATATTGGGATGCTTTTTCAGATGATTGTATAGAATTTTCCCAATCTCTTAGACTCTTTGATTATAAATGTAGGCAGCTATCAATAGGTCTTCCAGAATGAATTGAATGAGTACCTTGATGTGTTAAAATATATTATACATAGTGTCTGTTTAAAATATCTGGCTTATCTTTGGCAATTTCAAATATTTTGATTGCTAAGGTGAATGTTTATTTTTCTTATATTCTAATAGCTTTGTTAGCAAATTCAAGTATTAAATGTGAGTCATTTGGATTCATCTTGTTATTTGAAAGTTCAAATTCAACCAACCATTCGCATACTCGATATAAAGGTTCCATTTTGTGAATAAGAACGTTAAGATCATTTAAATTTATCAGGTGCAAGAGTTTGTAAATTAATTAGAGTATCTATTCTTTGACTTTGACTTTACTGGTCAAGCATTGTCTCATGTATTTAAAATTAACAAACAATTTAAGTAACTTTCTTATAGGTCGATAATAAACTTAGTATATTTTTTTTTCACTTTTTTCTCCAAGTTGTCTTTCCTAATTGAAGTCATTATTATTTCTGGTTAACCAATCAACGTAGTAATGTGATAAGCTATAGATCCATTCATACATTTCATCAACGATTTCACTTCTCAGTGATTTGACTGAATCTATACTTATCATCTTTTTGGTGAATACCAATAAAGTGATTGAGGTTTCGGATATGGGATTCAATTGTAGAAATTGTTTGAATTAATTAAATCTTTCTTGTTCCCACATCATTGTCATAATTTGTTTATATGAAAATCTACCATTTGCATTTAACAGACTCTTGAAAATATACATGATTGATTAGATGTCTTACAAATTAGTCACTAAGCCATTCAAACCTACCAAAAATTAATTGAGTAAATTGTCGCAATCTTCAGAATTATAGAATGCTTCATTTTGAGCATTATAAATACTACACTTAATGCTGTAATAGAGCTCTTACAACTCTGTGTCTTGGATCAATTGGAAGTGATCAAAAATACCCAAGCATTCAGCTGGAACCATGATATTATTGATGGTGCATGTGTAATTATTGTAGACTTAATCTTTTTCAAATCTGATTTTTGAATTACTAATTAATCTTAGACATTTTTTGAGTAGATTTGTATCAGTGATTGTTAGTAGTTGTGTGAAATCAAAGAAGAGTTTTCTCTCTATTTATATCTATTGCATTATGGGTTCAAATTTGATGAGTAAATCAGAATCGAATAAGGCTGACCAAAGATAATAGTAAAACTTGGTTTGGATTCCATTGGCTTGTAAATGAGCATTGATTTTCCAAAGGACATCTATTAATTCAACGAAAAAAACCTGATAATTGAATTGATTAAATGTCTCAAGATCAAAAGGATATAGAAATCTTTCCATACTTTAATAATGGCGTAATTTAACCAAGACATCTAATTAATAGGAGGTAGAGTAAACTAGACTTTTGAATCCAAGCAATAAGAAATCGAATGCATGCACAACGATTTTTAAATTACTCAAATTTTGAGCAATAAATTACTAAAAGAATGTGAAGTAGTCTTTGTTGATAAATTATGTAATAACCTTGATATTGTATCTAATATTTTAATAATACTAATTCTCTGTAAGCAAGACCTCAGTCTGAGACAATACCCAATTGCTAAAGAAGTTATAAATAATCTGAATAAAGAGTTGATTAAAGTATTCCTTATTGCAATTTGGCATTTATCTGTAATATCTACAAATTTCCCTTAAAAATCGAAATACTTGAACTTATTATTCAATTGTATTGGCTTTAGCAAACAATTGCATGTTAAATACAAGCCAATCTTAGTTAGTATTGGCGTAGATGGTTCGACATGAAAACTTCAAGAGTTTAACAAGGTCTAATTGAGTGGGGTCGAGTTTCTGAACTTCTTGAGTCATGAAAAGGATGAGATCCAGAGCTCTTTGTTCTTTGAGGAAATGCTTTTTGAATATTTTACAGATTTTGCCAAGTACATTCCATAGTATATTGCATTGAGGTAGGAGTCTGAGTAGTAATTAGATAAATTCAGGATCCAGAATGTTAGACCATAATCTTTTAATGTCTGAACGAGTAGGATCGACCCATTATAGATTAGAGTTTTCGATCATCATTTGTTGTATCTCTGCTTCAATGAAACAGGGGTTGAATCTTGATAATTGGCATTGAAGGGAGTTGTTATTTTTAATGTCAGCTCTTCTTAGTTTGTGAAAGTCCTTTTCTTTGGTGTCTGTAATGAATTCTCCTTCCATTATTAGACTAAACAAGTTGATGGCTTTGTCAATAAGATCAACGTAGTTATTTTTTAAGATTAACATGATACTGTTTAGTAATAGCTCGAGGTTATTTTTGTAGAAGAAATTCTTAACCGCTCTGTGCTGGGAATCAAGAGTGATTACAGCGATTTTATGTAACTTGTGATTGGGTGTGAGTCTTCTAATAACTGCTTCTAGAATGGCGAAGGCGGCTATTGGTTTTGCACTTAGGAGTTCTTGAATGTATAAATTGAAGGAGTTGGTAGGAAGTTTGTCTTAGAAATGAAACATAATTGTTGCTAAAATTGAGCCTAAAAAATGATAAACCGGTTTTGAGGTGGAATTGATTTTTCTGATGATTTGAAAGACTCCTTGATAAATGTTTTCGAAACAGGTGATTTCTTGGTGGTTAGTATCAATGTATGTGGCTATAAGGGATCCGATTATTTATAATGTTAATTCATTTTCGGTTTGGTTGGCCAGATGAAAGAGATTAATCAAGAGTTCCTGATTCATCGACCTATAGAGTTGATCAACTTGGGTTTGGAATTGACAGATAAGGACATTTTCATCTAAAATATTCATAGTAAATATATTAATAAATAATAGTTGACTTCAAAATGCAACAAAAATTGTAAAAATTTAACTAATTTCTTAGGAATGATCTGTGTAAGCATTTTTTAGATACAAATGAGCGGCCTTAGAATTCAATTAAGAAATACAAGCCAGAAGAACGTTTTGAAGATTATCCAAAATCAAAAGAACTGATTCGATTAAAATCTGAGTTGATAAAGAAACATAATCATCCCCCAAATTATATCAAGGCTGATTTAAGAACATTTGATTTGTAATAGTTGGGCAAAGTATTATGAATACCATTTAAATTAGTTTGATGTAATCCTAATCGATCCACCTTGGGCAGAATACGCCAAGAGATTGATGTAGGCAAACATGTAGGTTAAAGAGCACCAATAGTCTTGGACTTTAGAGGAATTAAAACAATTACACATCGATAAAATTGCAGATATTCCAAGTTTCATCTTCTTATGGTGTGGATCTGAACATTTGGATGATGGCAGAGAGTTATTCAAAACCTGGGGGTTCAAGAGATGTGAAGACATTGTTTGGTTGAAAACCAACAAGGATCATTCAAAATAAAACTAATATGTTGCAGGATAAGATTACGGAGACAATTTGTTTAGAAGAGTCAAAGAACATTGTTTGGTGGGTCTCAGAGGAGATGTAAAGAGAGCCTCGGATTAACATTTCATTCATGCCAACATAGATACGGATGTGATCATAACAGAAGAGGAAGTCATGGGATCCACAAAAAAACCAGAAGAATTGTATGAGATTATAGAGAGGTTTTGCTTGGGAAGAAAGAGAATTGAGTTATTTGGAGAAATACATAATATTCGAGATGGTTGGTTGACGATTGGATCATAATTAAGAGATACTAGACAAATGCCATAACAATATAATTCTTATTTCTAATAAGAACAATTTAGTGAAGAAAAGCCATTCATGGGTCCTAGGTATTTATAAACAACCATTGAAATTGAAAATTTGAGACCAAAATCCCCTCCAAAAGAGCAATAGTAATAATAACCACAAACATATTTTTATTGAGTATTTCATTCATTTCATTTATTATCATCTATTATTTGGTCCAAAAATATTTATTAAAATGACAAACATTATTTATCACATATATATATTTGATTAATGATATCACATCACTATTATTGCAAATAGAATCATGAATACTGATAAAACATTGCTATAGCCTGGAGCTGGAGAATCGGTACAAGATCTGCATTTACCATCTTTCCAAACCTTTGAGAAAGCACTTTGTTAGAAACAAGTTTCGGCTGTGTAATGTTCATCTTCTCCATCAATGCATTTATTATCTGCTGACCAATGGCATAATGTTGCATATGGTGAAAAAGGTGAAAAGATAAATTTGCAAGAATCCTTTGCTTGGATGTCTGAGCATTTTTTATCTCTGCATTTATCAGTGTCCCAAAAGCACTTCATGTTTTTTTTGCATTAATCGGAATTATAACTACCATCACTACATGTTTTCATGGTGACACAGGCAGCAGGAGTGCCAGATAAAACACAGATATTGTTGGAAGTGTATTTGCAATTCTCAACAGCAAACGACTCACATTCCAGAGGTTTCTCTGTTCCACATTTATCATCTTCCAATAAAATGCATTTGAAGTTTATATTGTTGCATTTTTAATCCACAGTCTCTTTGTAATCAGAACATTATTTGAAGTCAACACATTTACCTGAAACCCAACCACAAGTGGACTAGACTCTACATGACTCTGATCCTTCTATCATTGAACAACTAATTCTTTCATCTGCTTCACAAACATTTTTTTATTCATTCCAATCACAATTCATATCTCCTGGATGATAGTCATCACACTCTTTCTAATTTAACACTTCATCACAAGTGCATCCGTTAATTTTAATTTCAGCTGTATAGATGACTATTAACAAGGAGAGGAGGACTAATGATCTAACCATAAATTATTTTAATGATGTAATACTCAAATATTCATATTTGAATTCACAAGATATTGTATATAGAATTCAATTAAACATTATTAAATATTATTAATATGATTTATGTTCACATTTCCACCTTTCAGTCTTATTTTTAAGATACATCTCAATCAGCAAAACCAAAAGAGGTCATTTTGTATTTTTCTTGTTGATATTATCATTATTTCTATTTTTCCTTAATTGTATTTTTGATATGATAATTTAGAAATTGTTTCGGTGACTACTAAAATTGATCTCTATTTAGAATATTATCCTAGCTTGAACCCAATAGTGTTATGATAAATTAAATTTTGGAGTTTAGTCTATAATTTTTTAATAATATTACATAACATTTTATTTGGATATGCGAACTATTCAATTCTATTTTTCTTGGATACATGAACAGTAAAACTAAGGTGAGGTTTCTAAACAAAGGAGAATGTTTGAATCTTAAGAAAAACACTCTAAAATTAAGGGATATTATTTTATGATGTCATTCAAAGAATAGCCCATAAAATTGTATATGTATTAATGGACAAGTAAACTACAATTGTAATATCCAATTACAACTTTTTTATTTTAGATAAATACTTTTAAGGCTTAATAAAATACTGTATATCAACAAATTTAATCTAGATATCAAATATTATCATTAGCTAGGAGTTAACTTATACATTTAAGAATTTTCGTAAAGTTAAAATAATGAAATATTTAAAGGTTTTGATAAAGCAAATTTTGAAATATGCAAAGCATAGTTAATTGATTAAAATTATCAAGGGTAATTTTACATAGATAACTATAGATTCTCTAACTATCTTTATTCTCCAGATACTACTAATATCAGAAATAATCAAAATTATAATTAAGTATATAGGAAATCTCTTATAGTAAATCTCTTGTTTTCTATATAATTTATAGAGATTTCAAATGAGTAAAGCTATTCATAATAATTAACATGTTATGGCAAATATTTAATATCAATATATATTCTAACATATTGTAGCATATAATTTACAACAATTAAATATTAAATTAATGTTCCAATCACTACTTTATCAGTTTAAATTGAGGTTTAAAATGATCAATCCATGTAAAGAAAACAATGCAATTTTTAGTTGATATTAAATAAGAATTCAAATTTTTGAACAACACTCAATAATAATGTACATTGCATTCCAAACAACAATTAAACCAATCGACTTATTTAATGAAATTTGGTAATTCTTTAGCATCTCATAATTAGCAATTTCACAATAAGATAAATGCTTAGGTACTCGAATTGGATAGTACATTTCATTAAATGATCCTAAGTTTGATATCAATACAACGAGATATTATTGCCCCATCTCAAGAATAGATGACGTTGGAATGTTTGATTTATTGGTCCACGCCGTTTACGCTGAAAATAAGAATTTTTCCACTCACATCACAACTTTGAATGTAATAATTGCAAATATCATAGGATGGACACATTCTCAATATAAATGGACCTTTCACTAATTACCTTTACCACGGGTATGGCTCAATCGAAATCCCCAAGTACAATATCAATTCAAATTACTAATATATTGGCATAGTGGCAGAGTCTTCAGCTATTGCTGCTTTTTTCCAAGTTATGACAATGCTTATTTTGATAGTTAATTGAAGGTATAGCTACGAATGGCGATAATACACATATAGGATTGCTTTATGTGGCTGACACTCTCGATGAATTAGTTCTGATGGAGGAATTAATTTGGTACATGGAGGAGAAAAAGATAAATGCTACATTTATGCTGAGAAATGAGCAAGATCCAGTCGGAAAGGTCTTTAGTGGTCCTAAGGGCTAATTAAAACCGATTTATTTGGAATAGTATTTGCCTTAGCCTAATGATCAAACATTAATTCTTGTTTGCGGGAGCAGGTAATGATTATAAATTTTAATAAGGGCATTTAAAAAAGAAACTAAATAACAACTGGAATATATCCATCACCAAAATATAGCTATAATTTGATTATATATTATTAAACATATTATAAAATTTTATATTAATTTAAGATATTATCAAATTAAATCTAATTAAATAACTGTGAAAAATATTTATATCCAAATTATTAACAATTCACTCCATTTATTATTTTAATTTTAAGAGATATAACCATACGCTTATAAATGTCCCAGAACACCATAAAAAATGAATAGGTTCGATAATATTAGAAGGTGCATCAAAACTAAAAGGAGTAACTCAAAGATTTGGTATTTAAAGAGTCTTATTCCATCAAACAAGTAATATATTTATTCTAGACAGGCTTCTTAACTGTTAAACATTAAATATGCCACTGCCAAATCAATTATGTCCAAAATTCGAAAGTCTAAAATAAAAAAATATTTATTCCTCAACAAAAAATTGGGGCAGTGCTAATTTAAGAAAGTTGAATTGTCCAAACCATAATTAGAAATCAAATCTTTAGTGTCAGGATCTTTGATCAGTTCATGTAATTACTATTTATAATGAATATCTTGTTAAAATTCAATAATATTATTCACATAATTTTTTTTTGGAGGATTTTGCTGTAAGCAAATATCATTGCATAAAATATATTGATAATTTAATAACTCAGGCTCATTATAAGTTCACGGTCATGTTGTTCATATTATTATTCGAAGGGATGTTTCCTAACAGCATTTTTCATCTTTTTTTAAATAACACTAAATACTGGGTATTGATAATAAAACATCAACTTCATCAATAATTTTCCCATTACTACTTAGAGGAAAGAGCAATAGCGTTTCGATAAAAGCATATCGTCAAAGCACTTAAACAATTTATCTCTATCTCGACCTATGATCACTGGCAAATGAGTTTTACAACTTAAATGGAATCACCATCTATTGTGACCTCACAATTAAGTTGAAATCTTAGGTACCTTTAATCTCTAAAATAATAAAATAAGTGCAAATTCTCATAAGGATAACTTCTTACAAGAAACCCCTTAGGAACATAGGCAATTAAAAAAATCATATCTATAATATATTAATATTGTAAATCAATATGATCATCAAACCCAATTTTGTAATTCTACTTTCTATTTATTTTGTTCACATATCTAATAGTTTAATTTAAGTTGAAATTAGAGTTGGAGATAAATTCGATTTTAAAATCAGTACTTGTATATTTAAAACTAAAGTAAATTATTTTTGATAAATGATTTAGTTGAAACTGGAGGATGAGATTTTCTTCTCAGATGAATGAAACTAGCGCTCTTGAAATTGAGATTGATGTCAGAATTGGCTCACTTGTAGATTGATAATTTGATTGGGACTTAAAAATCCAAGCGGAGATGATGACAAATTTTATTATCAGAGGTGTAAATGATATGGTAAATTGCAGAAAGAGGCAGTAGAAATTTATAATGCTGCAATAAGCAACAGGTAAGCAGGGCTTACAATTTGGAGTAGTTCGTACGAACAAATAAAATATTGATATTAATTTTATCTTTAAAGAATGTTATAATTACCTATTAATAATAGAACACCAGGATAAAATTTTAGTTTTAACTAGTTTGCCTCTACACCTAATTCTCCCGATAGAAACACACCGAGCACGATAAAGGATTATATAAAATATCGATAACGAAATTTGCTGGACTTTGTTAAAAGTCGATTATAGAGTCGGCAAAATAGTCCGAAAAACCTTTTTAAGGTGGATCTAATTTAGTTTGCGAAAAAGAAGTATGACAGCATGCCCAGTCCCATAATGGGGGAACATAAATTTTTATCAACTTAAAGATCGATTGGTGACTCGATTCAGATTGTGAATGGGCAGGGAATGACTGAAGATACATTATTTGATGAAATAATTGATTTGGAGAATGCGATTAATTCGAATGGATACGAGAAGAAGTTGATGGGATCTTAGAAACAAATAAATCATTCAATCATGAAGAAGGAAGTAACTGAAGATGGTTAAGTGAAAATTAATCAATACACGATATTGCAGGAGCTTGGCAAGGGGTCATTTGGGAAGGTGAAATTGGCAAAGGACAACAATAGAAAATATGTAAGAAATTCAGAATTATGATAATAGGCAGTGAAAATATGTGATAGGAAGAAGCTAAAATTAAGGTTACTGTCAAGCAAAATGGATGCTTATTCATTGTTAGACAAAGAGATTGCTATAATGAAGAAGGTGGATCATGAAAACATAGTGTAACTGTATGAAGTTATTGAAAATCCGAATAACGATAAATTGTATTTGGTCTTGGAATACATGGACGGACCTTAACTCTTATCAATTAAAAATAAGAACATTGAGACAATTTGGAGGTTGTTTCGAGATTTCATGTTGGGACTAGAATATCGTATATAATACAAAAATATAAGTGCATAATTTCGCGAATATTGCCCATATGGACATTAAACCTGAAAATCTACTATTGAACTAGGAACTGAGGTTGAAAATAGCTGATTTCGGAGTCTCTCAAATTATGGATGACGATTTGGTCAAAACTAAAATTGGGACCTCAGCCTATCAACCTCCAGAAGTATTCACTGAAGACCAAGTAAGAGGCAAGCCAATCGATGTTTGGGCTGCTGGGTTGACTTTGTATCAGTTAGTTTATAATGAGCACCCTTTTATTTCGTTAAGGCAAGATCAATTGAAGAATAACATTCTCACTCAAAACATCAAGTGGAGGGAGACCTCAGACTTAACAGATTTGCTCAAGAGAATGCTAGACAAGAATCCCAACAATAGAATTACAACCTAACAAGTGTTAGTATCTTTATTGAGTTATTTCAGGAACATCCATGGGTGACCAAAAATGGTCGGTTCCCTCTAAAAAATGAGTACCAGGGCAATTTCTGTGTTACTGAGAATGACATTCATAATGCCATCACAAGATTGTCCTTCAATATGGCTATTAGAACTTTAAATAAATTGAAATAGAAGCTAAATTAATCTCGCTAGCGATTAAAATAAAGAAAGGCTTAGGAATCATGAGAATCTGACTTTAATTTTATTAATTTAGATTATTTTTTCTAATTAACCAAAGAAATTTTTTCTAATAATAATGAATTTTAATATCAAAGTCACTTTCAACAACTCCCCATGTCATCTTACCATTGACAATGACAATAACTTGATAATCATGAATTAAATTCTTTTGATGACATTTCCTCTAAATTTAGATTCAAATATTGTGTGGAAATTAGAAAAAAATGTGCTTCTGGGCTTTGAAATCAACTCCCTTTTGTTTGCAGGTGACCATCATGATCTTCTGAACCTAAAATCCATCCTAGGACGACTTGTTACCTATAAAAAAATCAGTAATATGTACACCTTCCTCAGCACCATCGGAAAAGGCAACTATTCGCAAGTGTGCTTGCTCCATTGTAAAATAACAAATAAACTATTTGCTGTAAAATGCATGAAAAAAGAAAACTAATAAGTTGTAAATGAAATCAAAAGAGAAATTATGATCTGGTCTGAGTTGTAGCATAATAACATCGCCAGATTCTATGAAGTCTATGAGAGTACAAACACAATTTATATTGTTATGGAAAAACTCAATAAATTAAGAAATGATTATGATCATGAAGAAATTAAATTAATTATGAAAGTATGATCATACGTAATTAAATTTTTAGGATATTCTGGAAGGTGTACAGTACATTCATTCCAAAAACATTATTCATAGAGATTTAAAAATCGATAATATATTGATTGACGACGAAAATTAAATTAAAATCATAGATTTTGGATTAGCTTGCCAATTTAGCAATGTCGAATCCAGATTTATCAGTTGTGGCACTCCCGGTTACATTGCTCCTGAAGTTCTGATGGATAAACCCTTTGATTACAAATCTGATATCTTCAGTATCGGAGTTGTCATGTATAACCTCTACTTTAATAAACATTTATTCCAAGCTAATTAAGTAGCTGACATCCTCAAACTCAATAAGAAATTCACACTATCTAGGTTGTCAGTACTCAATATTCCAGATTGCGGTTATCAATTGTTAAGAAGCTTATTGAATCACAATCCTCTATAACGAATAACGGCCTCTTAGGCTCTTTCACATTGGTATATGAATTCAATCAAGGAGGATCATTTCATAAAGGTTCCCAGAAATCCTAATCCAAAATTTAAGGATCACATTTAATCATGCTCAATTATTTACTCGAAAACTACTATAACTTCATACAATAAAATATATTGATATTATTATATTCATTAATTAATTATTGCACAACAGACTAATTTTAATATTCCAATTAAAGTTAAATTTTATTTAAATATTCTAAAACATTTCTTTTCTTATGAAAGGGTAAGAAACTTTATTATATATGATCTTAAACTGAGATTTTAATTTGATGCCTATAGCTTGCCTATCTTAATCTTCATTTTGATTATTTGTGTTCAAGTAACTTAATGATAATTAAAATCTTTGAGTTTTCTTACTTTAACCATAGAAACATACAGATTTGAATGTAATTATTATTTTGTACCTAATGGCTATCCAATTTCTTAAAAAAGTAAGATTGTTATTTCAGAAATGCAAGTTCTTCATTCAAAAATTAATAATCTTCAATAAATACAGAAATGATTAGAATAATTTCCACACTTGATTATGTTCATAAGACAAATAAACTATTTATTATTGATTACTCTAATTGATTATTGGTTTAAATAAAATAATTTAATTTATACAGATTGATTCTCAATACATAATCATTGATTAATCGTAAATATTATATTAAAATTTCCTTAACTCAATGCAATCATTATTTCATCATTTATCCTTTCCCAAACTTTATTGTTATTATTAAATATCTGTATTCGCATTAAAATATGTATGAATCAGTACTAAAATAGTTGTGAATGCAGAAAATAGAATTTTGATTAAGCAAATGTTATTGAATTATCAGGAATTATTAAATTCACAAATATAATTAAATTAATAAATATATGATAATTAGATCAGCTACTACTTATATGATGCTTCATTCCAAGACTCCTTAATATCCCATAACAAGGGAATTTTTCAGAAAGATGTTTTCGTGTACTCCTTCTGATATTCTACTTTAGCAAAACCGCAAGAACCCAAAGAATAATTACTTTAGTCTCCAGATGTGAAAACATTTGCAGCTCATCTCAAATAAATGGAGCAAATTCCTTCTTAAAGAGAATAGGACTTGACACTTTTTGATTCATTTAAAATTGGTTCTTCAATATTGAGAAAGTACTTTAGATTCTTTGTATACTTTTTCTTTAAAATGCTTTACCTTAAATTAGATGAATACAAGAGATTTATAATATTTGGAATAATATTCTATTTTTTGTGAAGAATTTGTGTTTACATATATAATATTATCACTATATAGATGGGTAGATAAACTCAGAAATTTCTTTGGTTAATAACAATTTTTTTCTCATCGACATTATACGCAATTAAATATTGACCATTATTTGTAAGTGTGGCTCCTTAAAACAGTCCTTTAAATCGCTATATTTACAAAGGATTGTTGAATTCTACGAATCTCCACACATCTAAAGCATTAGAACTCTGAAATATCATTATTTAATTAGACGGAAGATATTTGATTCTATCAACACATTCCAATTAGGATTGAACTGTTCCAGTTAAATGAAATTATCCATTGTTTCCATTTCTCCTCCAAATCAATACCTCTTTACTGCCAGTAACGAATTATTCATCATTTATAAAGCAAGCCGAGAAAATTTTATATTCATGTGCATTTCCGATTTTCTAGGTTAGTTTCCACACTCCTTAATTTTGTTCGTATATATTGATAGACCTATCCCAACTAACTGATAATAATAGCTTATCACTTTAACTTATTTATATCTGTAATATTTCTCTGAAATGGTCATTCAAGCTTTATGACAACTACCACTAATTTTCACATTTATTCCAAATCTATATAGTTTTATCACATCCAGTTGAAAATAATTGTTTATCTTACGAATTAATCACTATAGATTTTATACAGTCTTTATGGCAATTGAGCTCTTAATATAATTCAAAAGTGCCCTAATTTGAAAGTTTCCAAACGCGAACAATTTTGTCTACTCCTCCAGTAAAAAAGAAATTTTAAGAATTGCTTAAACAAATCGTCTCTATAAACCCTCTATGAGTGTTATTTTCTTATATTTAGTTTATTCTGCCTTCTTTAAATGAATAACTCCTTATCTTATTTTCGCAATTCGCAATAATTACATTGTGTCTCTGAGCTATTTGTATGTCGAAGCATATTTATTAAGGATGGTCATTCCATTGTTAATACGCTATGAGATCTTCAATGTTTTTTTTATAGTCTTTCGCGTGTTTCAATGCAGTATCATAATATTGATTGAAGATTCCTTGATAGGGTTTTAATTTATCTACAACTTCTTAATCAAATAATTAAATATCTTAATATTTAAATAGACTAATTTGTTAGGCCATTTTTTATAATTGGCTGAAGGTTATTTATCCAATTTAATAGTGGTTTAATTTCAGATTTTTATATTGTTAGATTATCTACTAAATTTACTTTTCTATTTCCTTCTCTATTATATTCATATTTGCCAGTAATTCTTCAGTCCTTTTGAATAATTTATTTTTCAGTATTTCCAAAGATTTTACCTCTTGTTCAAGCAAGCGATCGATTTCTTAATTCTACTATTTGACCATCCCATTATATAATTCGAATCCAGCCACTATACTGATGGGTCTAATTAAACCACATTCATCACATGCCACTCTATCCCCTAATTTAACATTTAAATCAATATTTAGAAAGTTTACAAGTTTTGCATGAAAAGGACACAGAATATTTGTAGAATTCAGAGTAAATCGTGATAAAATATTTAAATAAAAAATGATTAAGAATAATAATTCAAAACTATTTGGGATATTATATTCAATTATTTTAAATGTGTGATTAGATTCTAGAACATAAATTCATCGATTACTATCTAAAAGTAATAAATTTATATATTAAATACAGGTGAATATGATTAAAGATACAAATTACGTGTGCAATTCTTATGAATAAATATAATTTCTTCTTTTTGTATATAAAGTAGTATTTGATTGACGATTAAATAGTATTATATAAATTTATTAATTAATATTAAATTGTTAGAATAATTATTATACATTGTCATTAATCAATTCAAGCTTTGAGTTATTCTTTCTATAATGATAATAAGGATATATAGATACAAATCCTGGGAAGGTGTAATTGATTCCTAATTCTTTAAGTTTTTGTCTCTTCTCCTCTTCATTAGCCAGCAACCTCTAGACTTCTTTGACTATTTACTCATTTGATTTTTCCTACTGATAAAAATAGATGGTACTTTATTTGAATCTTCAACAGCCTTTTCAGACCAATTGATAAAGAACAGTTTCTGGTTGCCGTGTTTGTATTTGAAAGGGTCAGGATGTTGGTCACTTAATACATTGACAACTAGCTTCTTTCCGTTCATTAGATAGCCGTTCATGGCTTGTGCTGCGATGGGTGCTACTTCTTTATCAGCGAATTTAACGAATCCATAACCTTAGACTCTATTGGTCTAAAAAGAATGTAAATTTGAGGAATTACTTTTTTGCTTCTAAATAATTTGACTCCAAGCACGTCTCCAAATTAGGTAAAGTATTCCTTCAATCCCTCTTCGACAAAACCATAAGGTAAATGTCCAACATAAATAATTCCATGTTGTCTTTCTTGTGGTTATTACTCTAATCTGTTGACTTTGCTTTTTATTTTTTATTCTTTATTTGAGGATTCTTGACTTTATTTCTCAACAATCTTTTAAGTTTTGCCAATAACCTTCTAGGTCTTTTTTGTGCTCATAATTAAATTATATTAAATTGTGTTAATTATTTTAATTTATAAACAACTTTAATAAATTCTCAATCAAATACAACTTTGGGTATTTCAATCTCTTCGTCCTCATTAACAATTACATTTTATTGTAATGTAACAATTTATTAATTTTGTTATTCTCCTTTTGCAATATTGTTATTTGAATGATTCACTATGGAATAAAACATCTCATCCTCTGTTTGTTTCTATTGTTTTGAGCTACTTTCCTCCTCCCCAATGAAGCTCTTGGTCTTTCTGATCTAAGCAGCTATCTATTGGAGATTGTTGTTAATATTTCCAGCACTAGCATTCATGGACATATCCATCTAGTTATCTTTACAAGAATAATATTACTCCTCTGAGTTGACAGACTAGAGGATCTATTAAGCCTTGGAAAATTGATCATTGATTGATTTCTAAAATATTTAAATTAATTTACAATCGCTGACACATAATTATCTATTGACAAGGTCTTTCGCTTTTGGTAGACAAAATTGATTAACTCCAAAATGCCAGATGTTGCCTCCTGCAAATCTAAATCAATATCGTAGACCTCTGATTGCATCAAGTATAAAGTGAAATACTTGATGGGTTGAATCAAACATAATTCCAATTCGTTATAGTTTTATATCACCACCTTGCATAATCGCAACAAGGACGAAATGACTTCGCTACCACAATAATTTAACAAAATATCATGTGGGAATGAGAAAATGATAAATAATAGCTGATACAGCCTTTTGGTTAAATCCAATGAGTTTCCTTGTCTCAAGTTATTCACCACCAGTTGAGCCAATGAACTAAATTGATTGTCAAATCGTTATTTTAGTGTTTTCACACTCGTCTTATTGAGTTGATCTTAAGGCAAGAATCCCAATTGAATGTCTTTGACTACCTTTTATTTTTTTTTGTTATCGGCATTTTGTGGTTGATATATTTGATGTCTCTCCCTTTTCATATAATTGCTCATGTTTTTCATAAACTTGGGGAATTCCAGTTCAAGTTGTTCAAGGATTCTTGAGATCACTTCTAACTCAATCCTTGTTGTTAAAAATTCTAATTTCATATTTAAAGTAATTACTCTGTTATGACATGGATTCACACAACTAGGAAATGAGTTTGATCATGGAGGTGTTGACTGAAAATGACGATTGAGTAAATTTAAATAAAATTTGGAGGATGGATGTATTCATTATTAGACCTTGACTAAAACTGGACAGTACGAGGGTGTGCAATAAGGAAATTGAAATCGATTTACTAAAGTAGTTTAATTCTTTGAAGGATTCAATGCTGAGAGTGATTCCTCTATCGATCATTAATTTGTTGAGCTTGTTTTGTAATTACTGCATTATGCTTTAATTCAATTGTGTTTCGTAGACTACATCTAAATGATCAGCGAAGGAGTTGTTCAATTGTATGATTTCTCCTATTTTTTGTATGGCACTTTCAATTTAGATATCGATGAGGATGTCTTCTTTGATGAATTGCAATTGCTATTGGAACAGGAGAGACAGGAAATGCAAGGTTTCCCTAAAATTGATGGTAAAATTATCAGTTGTAGTGAGGAACTCCTTGATGATTTGAAAGATGATTGAATACTTGGTCTTTTGATTCTTGCCTTCGATCTAATTAAGATGGATATGTTTACATTGAGGAGGTTCATCTTGATTTCCTCAGTGGATAGGTTGGCTTGCCAATTGTTCTGCAAGACTAATTTCTCCTTCTCCAAATCAATTAGGGTGGCTACAACATAGTAGGCATCGAAGATCTGCTCTAGAGTATTGACGACTTGAGATTGGTAGGAGTTGATTCCTTGCTTGCCTTCCAAGTATGTGAATTGTAGGACAGCGTAGAGTTGAGCTAAGAGAGTGGCAATTTGGGTTTGGGATCTTCTTTGAACGCATAGTTCTTGGATTTGTTTCTAGTGATTTCTGAAGAGTGTGGGATTGAATAGGACGCATTTAATGAGGGATTGGAGGAGGTTGTGATTCCACTCGATTTGGGACAAATGGTGGATGTAATTTTTGAATTGATCTTCGTAGAGGTTGATCATCTTGTTTATTTGTTGTTGTTGTTGGACTGACTTGGACTTCTGTTTGTAGAGTGAGGACAAGTACACATAATAAAATATGTTTTGATTGGCTTTGTCATTGGATTGGAGGTTGATCACTGATCCGATTTCGATCAGAATATCGTGGTTGTATTTCTAGTTGATTAGGGAGTGCTTGTTACCTTGATTGTGAGACCTTTGATGATCAATTGGAGTATCAGGGATTCCTCCTGGGCATCCAAGTACTTGTCTTTGTTGGCGAATATTTTGACGCAAATCTGTATGAGGATGGGAGTGAGTGTCTCAGGGTATTGGATGTATTTGTTGATGTCAAATTGAAGTTGCTGCTTTTGATTGAATTCTTTTTAACCCTAAATACACGATAATAAACTATTCATAATAATGATTTAAAATCACCCTCTCTGTCCTAAATCGGCGATGGAAAAGTACTATATGGAACAGCAACTCCCACAATACCAGACCTTGCCACCTCAGCAGACTCAGAAAAAGAATCACTCCTATTACAATGACAATGCCAACATTTGGAACAATCATCATCAATCCAGTTCCAACATGAAGGTGTTTGCCAAGATCCAGGAACAGAAACTGAAGGGCGAGAAACGCATCCAGCAATTACAAAAGCAAGAACAGAGAGACAAGCAGATGTATCAAATGAGCAAACACATCTACTTCAATCAATTGAGACACGAGGATCAGTTGAGGATGCAGACTCGCAAATTAGAACGGGCTGGTCTCCAGAATCTAAGCCAATAGCAATCAGACATCGAGGCAGATCAATTGCTCCTGAAACCAACCCAATACAATACCACATTGCAAGGAAGACCTGAATTCTTTTGGAATAAAGTGGGCCAGCATTCTCAAAAGCATATTAAGATGTTGGTGAATCCCAAAATACTGGCCATGGAAGAGGAGGCAGTCAAATTGATTGAGAAACGCATTGAAAAAGAACACATTGTTGAATAAATCAGATGGGACTTAAAATAAGAGAACATGAAACTTATTCGCAAACTCAATGCCAAAAGACAACAAGAAGTCGACGAAATTCATCACAAGGCAGGCTTGTCTCCATCTCACAAAATGGCTATCTCCAAAACCACCCATGTCAGACGACCATCTCAAGTATCTCGACCTTCACTTGACATTATTGAATAAACCCTCCAACAAATTGAGGAGAAACAGCAAAGAACAAGTCGCCCATTCACTGTAGACAGCGACAAACCTTCATTTTCATTTCATGTAAGACCTCAAACTAGTAATTAGAATAGTCATTCAACTAAAAATGTGCATAGTCTAGCTAAGTAAATGTTATAAGCATAACAAGATAGTAGTCACTAAGTGTCCACAAACAACGCAATCTTAGGATGGACAGATCTGAATTCAAGGGATTGTATCTAGCATAGGCATGCGATGTGAGTGACAACAATTTCAGCAGAACCATACGCTCAAATTGCACTATTCTGAAGGGAATCTCGAATTCGAAGATCAAAGCTTAACAGATGCCTCAAAACAATAGGTGTACTAATCAAGCTGAGGAGGATGTAAACAAAATGTTAGATTCATTTGAAGGCAAATTGTAAGATAGAAAACTCCAATATTGAAATTATATATATTTTTTAATCATTTGATTTCTTCTTCCTCAACGATCTACTTCGGAGGAGGCACAAAACTAGATGTGATTGTCTAAAATCTCCCATCACTGAAATTGTTGGTTTCCAGCATCTTCTAAGATAAATGAGTAATCCCTATTCTGGTTTGCGTGTGCTAATTCTATTTGTATACATTCACAATACAGTATTACCTGCATATAGGACGGCAATATGGATCTGTGATCGTGATCCCTGTCGATCATTTTGCCAAAGTTGGGAGCAGTGGGCACTCTGAAGATCTGACTCTTTTAAGATCTGGAATAAATGTCGAATTCAAAATATTCTTCAAAAGTGTAATCCGATTTCTTGGTCATGATGTCATCTCTCCCCTTCTTTGAGTCGAACTTCGGTCCTGCAGAGCCTAATTTTCTATTGAATTTTCTCATGTATTGAGTTACCTCCTGCCAAATTCAAAATTAGGCTCGTAATCTGGAGCATAATGCTTCCTCTTATAGACAGTCATTTATTCTCTGGAGAGCGATTTGTTCATGGAATATTGCGGAGTTCTTGGAACCTTACTGAATTGGGTAGTTATATTGAGAAAGTTGAATCTCTCCTCGTGTGGCGTTGGTTAACCGAAAAACACTTCCTATCTAGATACAATAGACATCCTCACCTTCCAGTTTGTCTGGACATATCAACGAAGCAATCCCTCTTCCACACTTGCTTTTCAGGTATGGGTTCTTTGTTTCCGAAATTGATGGCACTCTGCACTCTTTTGGTAGTTTATCTGGGAGTGGATTTGACAAGACTTTTTTGGTAATCAGGAACTATGTGATTGGCTCTGTAAATATTTTAGTAATTGATGTACTTATCTAATTGATTGAATTTTGGATTGTAATAGCCGCAAGGGGGTTAGCCGTCGCATCCGATTTTGGTGTAATTGCCAACTGCTCTCGATAATTGCTTTGTGAAGGGTTATTGAGTTTTTAAGGCTTGCTGAACATTTGGAGTTAGTTGTTTTTCTTGGGTTTCAGGGATGGGGATTTCAAAGAGATGACTCTTCACTCGTTTGCCCATTTTACGATTGAGGATCTCGTCTTTACGAGCGAAGATTATGTATTTCTCACTTGTGATTTTACCAGCTTTGGAGAACATATTTTAAGGGTCATTGGGATTTATAATTAAGGCCATGAAGATATTAATTAAAATATGCAGCAAATCGAGGATCAATATGTGCCCAACGAGGAAGAATACGAGCAGAAGGATCAGACGACCAACACTCGTTTTGGTAAGTTTGTGAAAGAGTAATGGGAGAAAATAGAGAAGAAGAATTTCAGCTAATTTGAGACAAGAGTATTGTCGACTCTGCAATAATTGGGTAATAACAGTGCAGATGATTTGATCGAGAAATAGGCAGTCGTGGAGGTTGTGCAGAAGGAGAAGGATAATAGCAAGTAAAAGGGTGGTAAGCAGAAGAAACCAGAGTAAGCACCATAATAATAGGAGGTTTAGAAATCGAATGTCATCTACGAAATTTGTGTGGGTCAAGACTTGTACTTGAAGTATCTGAGACCCAAATTGGTCGAGTATGGCATTCTGAGCAAGATTGATGATGGCAATCCCAAATAGGAGGAGAAGAAGCAAGCATAGGGTAAGAAGGGTGGTAAGAATGCAGTCAAGAAGGAAGATTTGATGCGTATTGAGTTGTCGAAGGACAAGGTTAATGATCAAACGGTGAAGATGTTACAATAGATGGGATTGATCATTTTAAATCAGGATTTAAAACCTAAGGAAAATGAATTTCTTAAAACTGAATAAGCAAGTAAACGTATCAAATCCTTGAAATGGATGGAACTCAAGTTCTCAGCCTTGATGATCTATGCCACTCAATTGATCAAGTGTCACATCCACTCCAAATTCAGGGATGAATACGCCTTCGAATTGATCTACTTTCTTAAAAATGTCTATCTCAACTACAAAGAATACGAGGGTCAATCCTATTTGGATGAGACAAAGAAAGAGAGATTGGCACCTCAAGCAGTCGAAGATCTCAGATACAAACTCAAAGAATTGTACAAGAACTTTGGATTCTCAAACAGAGTCTTGTTTAATAAGTATCCAAAATTGGTCATCGATACAGATTTAAATCAAGCATTCATCAGAACTGATGTGCGTCCATATAAGTCATAAGAAAACCTCCTGGAAATCTTGAAGAGGGCAGAAAAACCTTCCTTGATCTTCTTCAGTACCATGGTTGGTACGGGTAAGACAGTGTTGAGTGTGGCCATTGCTTAATACTTGGCGCGCTTGAGGGAAAGCTATGCACTTCAAGAAAACAATGCCTATAATTAATTGAAGAATCTAGGTTATAGGAATCCCAGAGAAGTCTAATTTTTGTATTGTTGTCCTCTGGATACAGTGAGAACCCAAGTGGGTGCTGCTGCATATGAGAGGAAACTGAAATTCGCCATTGCATCCATGTGGAAGGACTCCCAGAGTTCTAAACTGGACTCTGATTTGGGATATGCTGAATGTCCAAGATTGGTCAATTCCTGGTAAAATAGACAGGAGGAGTTCCCAACTTTGGTTGTGGCTGATTTCAAGACTACCTTGGAATTATTGAAAGAGAAACACACCTTGTCAGAAAAGGAGAAGTACGTAGTTAGATGGTAGGGTAAGGATCGTAAATTGGTATCACATAATCCAGCTAAGCATGGAAAGGATTACATATTGTTTATTGATGAGCCCACAGTTGATGCTGATTTTGCAGATGCAGAAGTGACCAAGATATTGATTGACATCATTCGTCGAGCTCCACCCATTACAATACTATCTAGTGCTACTTTGCCACCTCCTGAGAAAATACCCAATTTCATTAAGCTTTACAGGAAGGCTCAAATCTCTGAGATTGACATTCCTGTGGTTCATGATTCTCAATTCCATATTGGTTGTTAGGTCTTTTCTCATAGTGGTCACAAGTTCTTGCCACATTATTAGGCATAGAACAAATAGCAATTGGCTGAAATCTTGGATAGATTGGAGAAGAACCCATTTATGAAGAGGTGCTACAATGCCAATGCTTATTGTGAGTTGTATGATAGAATGAAGGGATGTGGAATTGCCAACATCGAAGATTTTGAAACATTCGATATCATTACTCAAGAATTTGTATAAAGAAAGAGCATTGAGTTATTGAAGATATTGTTAACAGTCGATGATGAAGCATTTAAGAAAGTGTGTTCGGAGAAACAGGACGCTGTTTAAGAATAAGATTTAGCTGAATAACAGCAAGGAGGAGAGGAACAACAATAAGAGGGAGAGGAAGGAGAATACGAGTATGAATACGAATACGTATATGAGGAAGTTGAGGATACAGGAGCAGTGAATCAGACAGAGGACAATACTTAATAACAATAATAATAAAAACCAAAGTCTAAATATACTTATACTATTGAAATAGATGATGAGGATAAAATGAAGTTCACAGCTCCATATCACAAATTAGACATTAGACAATTGGGTGGCAACATGGCTCACAAATTCTTAGGGGGGTGTTTGATTGCTGTAAATTCACCAGTGGAATTCATCAGAGCCAAATTCCATAAATTACTCAAGAAATGTGCTCCTGCTTCGGAATACGTGAAACAATATCTAAAATAACACGAATATTTGGAAAAAGAAATCCAGAAGAAGGAAAGAGAAATCGATAACGAGGATGAGAGATCCAAACAAATATAAGCATTGTAAGAAAGCATGAAGTTGTCTATAGCATTTCCTGACTTCTTGAAAATCAATACGTTGGAACATTACAAAGTAAGCAATAATCATCAACTAGAAATTCGTTACCAATGACCCCTTGTATCTAGAACAATACAGAGCCAGAAAGGCATTCTCGCTGGAGGGAATCAATTATCAACTTAATATCCCTGATGACATCATGTTGTATCTCTTCTCTGGTATTGCAGCATATACAGAAAAGGTATTGAATTTGTACGAATCCTTTCTTAGTAATCCGAATTGGACATCGATTATTATGAGGAGGTGTAGAAGTTGGCTTCAAATGGGCAATTAGCTCTGATTATTTCAGATGATTCTATGTGCTATGGTGTCAATTACCCCTTGAATCACGTGGTGGTTTTTGATGAGATGGCTGAAAAGCGATCCGTCGGAGCCTTGTTTCAATTGATAGGAAGAGCTGGTATTGATGTGAAATCCAATGATTAATAGGTCGTGTCGGTGTTTCATGGACAGCCAATGCATATTTGGGTGATAAGACCTTCGACAGATTGATCAAGTATTTGAATGGGCAGAATGAGGAGACTGAGAGGGACGAAGCTTACAATATCGAATAGTAAAGTAAGAGGATGATCTAACATCTGATTGAATTGGCAAAGAAGAAAAAGGAATAGTAATGAATGTATTTATACAATTAAAAAATGATTTCTAAAAATCAAATCGACCAAGTGTATGACTTTCTAAAGAGTATCAATGATGGCACTCTAGAGAGCTATCGTAAGTCCCTTCCAGAGTCGTGGATTCTAAACTAAGTCATTGATGTCGCATCTTTGACTCCATCACAACGGATAGTGTGTCTATACTTTGCAGGAGATGAAACTCAGTGTGGCAATGCTTTGGAGAAGAGACTTGTGTTGAATAAGGAATAGGTTTCGCTATATAACTTAATTTAGAGTGCGGGTAATGTAATCTGAGATAACTTGTTGATGAATGGAGTACCTCTAACCAATAAATTACTCACCAACCCTAAAACATGAGAGCCATCATTCAATGTGCATCCTTAAGACATGCTCTTGAACACATCTTCACCACTTTTTCGATTGACCATCTACGACCTGTACCCACAACAATTCAATCTTCGTTTAATTGGATCAGCCTTTAAATCACTGATCCTCTCTGGGATTACACCATCGAAGTCAGTCAAGAGCCACTAGTCAGAATCAAGGAGAATCTCCTGAAAGCTCAACAATCCAAATTGTCTCAGAAGGAAGCTTAAGAAACCATTGATCTTCTCAATCAAGATCAGAGAAATGTCTTGGACAGTGGCATCACTCCCAATCAACTTCCCAATCTTATTGAATACAATCCCGATCTGTCAAGCTTTCTGTTGGCTCGCATCAATCAATGCGGAATCAGTATCCACGAATACTTCGAGTGCTTGATTTAAATGAAGATTTCATTGCAGAGTTTGGAAGTCGTCAACAAACTATCCAATTCCATCAAGTTGCCTGAAGCCTTCCTCCATATGTACTTGACCAAATGCATCCAGTATTGCGAAGAGTTGCAAGTACACATCATTCCTAAATACAGCCCAAGTAGCAGATGGTGTCCAGATACGTGAGATTGGTGGCTGTCTTCATCAAAACCCTCATCAAATCAAAAACCTTAGACCCCAAAAAAAGGTTCACTGAAATATAAGGATTCTGCATCGAGTTCTCAAAGATACCTGAAGCTTCACAGCTATTCAAACAACTCAAAGAGACAGGTGTAGAAGAAAAATAGCATCAGTGATATTGATTGAATTATGAGATATAGTGAATTATCTCATTCTAATCCTTCCTTCTGTCATCCCTCTCCTGCCACTTCCATCTCTAATTACTACTACTATTTAATATCAAGTACATATAAAAATAGAATATATAAATATCATTGCAAAAGATCTTAACATAAATTCTGAATTTATTGAAAACTCACTTGAATTTCTTTTCTTATTTTTCATAAGTGTCTAAAAAGATCCTGTATATATATACAAATACTAAATGTATATTCTCACTCACATCGATTACCTTGATCATAAATTCTATTTTATGCCTATTTAACTAATTATAAGATGGTATATCAATTAAAACAAATATAAAACTGTTAATCAAGCAATACTTATTTCAAAATCACTGTGTTCCCAGTATTATATCAGATTCAATATTAAATTGATAGATCCATCATCCTTGTTTTGTAGTATAGTTGCTTGGTTGTTTAGAATTTCCACGAAATCATATGTATCCACTTTCTGCAATATGACTAATTTGAATTGTTCTGGCAATCTTTGGAAGTGCATGAATAACTCAGCTACCAATTTGGTCAAGTAGCTACAAGAAAGCAATCTAAAGTGATCATAATAATTATTACATATCGCTAACGTATTGCAAGCAATCTAGATTAATGAAGATCTCATTCAGATGATAGTCTGATAATTCTTGATGATTCATTAGATTTTGCAGGAGATACAAGTATTCTATGCAGATTTCTTATTTAATGATGGAGTATTGAGTAAAGTAATTGTGGAGGAAGGGCAGGAACACTAAGATTGCTCTTTCAGTGATGAAAGCGTTGGGGTAGTAAAGAATGTTGTTGAAACATTTAAACACCTTTTCGATTAGACATTCATCTCCTGGGTTTTGCAGGGAGCTGATCATGGATTCAATCAAACCAATTTCAATGAAATGTTGGAGGATGTAATGATCGTCATCTTTCTCAGCAAGGAAATTGGTGAATATTGAAAAGAATTTACTGGGAAATAGATTTAATTTCAAAATCTTCTCCCATACGAACTTGGTCAGAGTCAGGGTCAAAGCTGATGTAACTTTGAATTCAGACAACTTTTGCAAGATCTCCAACACTCTCTTGTAGAGACTCTCCTCTTCCATCTAAACCTTATCGATTAAGAATGTGCATTGCGAGATGATGCAATTGAACTTAAGTTTTATGATTAAGAATCATACGTTGTAATGAGGAATGTCTGTGAGGTCAATGTCATTAGATTCAAATAGTTTGCACTCCAAAAGCAGAATGGCTTTCCAAGCTTTTGTGATTGGGTTTTTGGGATAAAACTTAGACCACACTCGGAAGAGTTGTGACCTAAGGATCTCCTCTCTAAATAACAAAACAGTTCGATCATCCAATTCAAATTGGATGTTTATCAATATTAGGCAAATCTGATACATAGTAAAGATTGATTACGCTCTCAATGATCTCACACCATCTATCAAAATTACTCAGAATCTTGTCAGGTTATACCATCCTGTCCATCAAATCCTTCAATATCAGATTCATCAAATCATTTTACAGCAAATTCTCAACTATATCCTTCCTATCCAAATATGAAAAATTAATCAAGATTACCAACACATGATTTATACACATTAATCTCTCCGATGGCAGATTGAATTCCAAAGGAATGTCCCTCATCCGAAGTATATCCAAGAACAACTTCAAACCATTCAAATTACCACTAAAATGATTGATGAATTGATTCAAAACAACCACGTCGTTTGGATTTTCCTCCTCCAACAATCTCAAATAATTCATATTGTATTATTTTAGCAATTTAACCAAATGCTTGAAATCCTACTCCAGATAAGTCTGATATATAAAATTGATAGTCTCATCAGGATTACATCTTTACACCAGTTCCCCATCTTACCCAATGCTCGTGTGTCTCTTTTTAGAAAAGATCTCCTCTCGAGCTTACTTTCTAATCTGAACCATAAATTGTTCTCTCTTCATTTACAAATGCGAATTCATAGTATAAATATTAATAATTAGTATTATAGAAGGATGTGAAAAGGAATATCTTGTTATGGTATTTAGACCTGAATGCAATATTCTATGCTATCTAAGTAAGATACTACATGCTCAATTGATTGGATACATATAGTTGACACAATTAACTTACACATGAGAATTATGAAAATTGAAAAAAAGATTATGGAAGTTTTGGTCTCATTTATTTGATTAATAATTACATTTTGAATGCTACTAAATGGATTGTTAAATGAATGTGCAAGACATTTTAAGTAGATTCCATTATAACTCCCAATCTATTATCAGAGATTATATAACAAATTTGTAAAGGGTCTGAAATAAAATATGTTGTCATGAGATATGAGAGCAGTAATCAAGAGTTTAGCTAAAGGTGAAAAAGACAAGATAATATTGAGACAATCGATTTGAAAGCGATTTATGCTTAGGATCACAGGAACTTTCCAGAAATTCATATCTGGTATGAATTCACTCTCAAATGACTGTCTAATATACTTATTATACAATCATTTAATATGTTGAATCAATTGAAGATAATCACCGCTCTAATATTGCTAAATAAATTAATGCAAACACCCAACAGAAGGGATGAAATTTATAGATTAACATTAATTAGAGGTAAATTAACAAATTTTAATCAGATTGAAACTAGTGACTAACAATTACTTATATACCTGTGTGATTTGATTTTCAAAGAATTGATATTGATTGGGAATTATTGGGTTGCAAGTTTGGAAGATGAATTTAAAGAAGGAATTACAGAAGATTAGCTATTTTGATTAAAGAATTATTACATAAACTATTGAGGGAGCATCTATAATATTATGAAAACATTAAATCAAAACTGTTATTTAGGTTGCAGTTAAGGATTCACACTAATGTTGGCAAGAGAAAACTTGCTTTCAGTGATGGATACACAGCAATTCTACGACTATATAAGAATAGTAGAAAAATCATTAACTACACAGTAGAAATAGAGTGTTCTTAATGAAGTTAATGTTACCATGGAAAGTCATAGAATATCTATTGATGTAAAAAACATCTTATTGATGGCAGAATTGATGACATTCAGAGGTATTTATTTAAATTTAAGCGAATTAAGGAGATCTTCTTGGGTTGGCAGGAGCAGGAATAGATTAATTTAAGAATTCAGCCTCGATGCTAATTCCTTCCAAATAACAAGGGAGAGTTTTTAATGTTGCCATTTGAGGAAAGAAAGATTCGATGAATGATGCATCACAACGAATAATCATTGGATAGATTGTACCAGAAGTAACAGGAATGTTTGATTTGACATTCAAAGTTAAAGACAATGTAATCTAGGGGAGCGCAAACAATCAATAGAAGTTTTAGTTTGTTTCTAAATGATGAATAATGACATCATATTTATGAATATCATATTATTCGCAGTGTTGTTATTTGTGAGAGCAGATCACATACCAGAATTCAAAGCTGCCCTAGATTTCAATCAACTTAATAGCTTCAAGCAACATGTCCTTAAGCCAATTATAGGTCTTATCTAGGGGGCTCATCTCCCACTTGATATACAGTTAAACCAATCAATCCCCCTTATTGGTAAAGTGGAACTAGAGATCAATGAAGTCTATTTATAAGAACTCACTCTTAATTGGGATGATACGTTTATCATGCCTTATCAAAATAAAGAAGATTCAATAATCTTACAAATGAGATCGGCAAATATCACAGTTGAAGCCTTCACTAGATTGGCCTTTGGAGGATGGTCAATGTTAAATACAGGCACCGTATTTAAGTTGTAGAACCTGGATTTCAGCTTAGTCATTCAATTTGATCCCACCACATCCAAAAGATCATGGGTAAGAAACTTAAATATTTTAAGGGTTTCAAACCAATTATCAAATATGTCGATATTGCCTTATCACGCATGCAATTCATAATGGACAATATCATCATACCTCCTCAAGCTGGTATCAATGCCCTAGTTGATCTTCTTACTCCCATGATTGTGAAGCAAACCAAAAAGATGATTCTCAAAGTTGCTTCACCCGCACTCGGATTGTTATCCTAAAATCAAAGGTTACAGGTGGCCCAACAATTTGGTGATTATATGTATTAATTCCAAATCACTTTCACCCAACCACCTTGCGTGATCTATGGAGAAACCACCTTCATGAGTCTTTAATTGGATATTCAAATAGAAAATGTTGACACTGGCAATGGTTGTCCCATCTTCGATACTGGCAGCTTACCAAATAGAGTGAACTCCAATCAAGCATTGGAACTCATCGTTGGTGGTAACATTGTCGACCAATTGCTTTGGATATTGATAGACAGCAAAATGTTGGATCTCACCATAGACAATTCCAGTTTGGAGAACATCGATTTGCCAATTTCATTAACCACAAACGGAATGAAACTCATCATCCCTGATTTCTATGAAGCATATGGACCAGATAAAGGCATCTATATACGTATGTATGGACAGACAGCAGAACAATAAATGTACATCAGAAGTGGCAGATTACTCGGATCAATGACTGTTATGCTGGACTTTATTGTCGACACAGAATCTAGTAATTACCCAAACAACAAGAACAATTGTGAATCCTGTGTAATTGCCTATACTGCAGAAGTACAATTGGGGCTTATGTTGACACTCTATAATAAATCACCAGAACTCTTTGCAGCTTCAGTCATGCTTGTCAAGATTATAGACATTGATTAAACTTCAGGGGAACTCTTGACAGTTCAATAGTTAAGCATCATGCAAACACTAAACTCTCTTGTTGGTGCTCTTCTTCCTTCAATCAATCAAGATCTTAACAAAGGCTTAGAAAATCCCTTTGTTGGATTTTTTGGACTCAAAGAGATTGATATCACAATGGGGGATAGTTTCATGTCCTTAGGAGTAGTACTTAATGATTGATGAAATAAATAGCATATAAAAAAACAATAATTTTAAGATTGTTTCCCAATCTATTAGATTATCTAGATATAGATATTTTATAATATAGAATAACTAAATAATATTTTATCACTATTTTTTGATTGCCATCTAAATCTTAATTTGCTTTGTAGTATGTTCTGAATTGTCCATTCATATTTTAGTAACTTCAAAAGTTTAAGAAAATCATTACAATGTGAGATTGGGAAGTAAAATTTTATAGATATTGATGTATTTTTATTTTCATGAAGAACATGCAGTACAATACTAAATTCTTTTTCTATGGCTCAATTAATTGCACTTTATTATTATTGTATATTATTTATTATTAGTAATAATGATGTGAGTAGCAATTTACATATATTGTTGCTATAGAATAATTATGAATGGAAATAAAAATATCTACGTATTTTATCAATTTTAATCTATTTATAATAGATCCAATTTATTTATTTTGATTTACTGAGTTCTCAATAAGAAATTGTGATTCACTCATGTCCCTAATCTTTCAAATAGCCATGTAAATTTTCGTATTGATTCATAATTGAACACTCAATAGCAATAGAAAGTGCAACTCAAGATTTTCCCAAAATATCATCCAATATTTGTTGATAAAATTACAATCATTCTTCATCAAGCAGTTTAATCATGTATTAATCCCATCAAGATCATTTTTCATACTACATTTCCAGCTTTGATATTTATAGGTTCTTACTTTTATTGATAGTCAACAAAATCAATCTAAGATTCAATACTCATAAATGAATTAGTGGTATTCTTATATTCAAATCATTTTGATATCCTTGTTCATTCTACAAGTTCAATTAATTTGACATTATCAAGTGAGTATATTTTAAAAGTTATGCAGATTATAAATTGATAGGGATATAAATTGCAATAATAATAATCAGTCTTAATATTATTATATTCTATCATAAACTTCTCTTTAGACTACTTCTAATGTAGATTTATCCAATTCTTTTAGAAGAGATAGTATTGCGCATAAGATGTTAGAGTTTCTTTCTTCATCCGCATATTCTTATCTGATAGTCTATCTTTAGTATTATTGTTATTGCTACTATTATAAGTAGAGTTGTGATTGTTGCTATTGCTAAATCTATGATTGGTATTGTTATTATTGTTGTTGTTGCAAGTACTGTTGTTGTTATTATTATTATTGTTCTCTTTCTCTAGCTGCCTGCTATTGTTGTTATGGGTAGTATTGTTACGGTTATTGTGACTAATGATATGGTTGCATTTACTGTATGGATTGTCGTTATTGATTTGGTTATTATTCTCGTTAATTTGAATATCTTCCGCCGCCATTATTTGGTGAATATTGATTTGGTTTGATTACTTCTACGTGTTGTCCCATCTCTTCATCTGATTTTTGTGACTTTGTGGGAGGACTTTATGAAATTCCATATTGCAATTATAATTAGGCATTTGCTCTATCTTGTTGGCTGATGACAACATCGTCCAATTTTTCAAGTGTTGAAGAATTGCAAATCACAGCCTCCCTGTAATTTGGATGGTCGGCAATGGGATTTTCTAATATTTGATTGAATTGTACCTTGAAGCCATAAGACTTTCAATTTAGGTAATTGCTATAGGAATTGCAATTCTGTAATACTTGAGATATTGTTCTTCCTCAGGTACAATTCCTTGATATTCTTGCATTTAGCAATGTCGGCGAGAGTGGTGATCCGATTCACTGACAAAGACAGAACTTCAAGTTGAGGGAGTCTTTCAATGATTGAGATATCGTCAAGGTCATTGCCCCATAAGTTCAGTGATTTGATACTATACAAAGCCTCAGTCTTTGCCTTCTAGGCGATTAGTGTTTAAGTTAGCGGTTTAGACATAGTTTGCGATAGTTATATTAATAAATTAATAATCAATTTTATAATTTACCAATAATTTCTTCTAAAGATATTACTTCACTTTGATTCAAAAATTACAAAAATTAAGTAACCCTATCTTGCTTGTCCTAATCTAGCTTAAATTTCATGAATTTCCTGGTTTACCCAATTAATTCGCATAAGACGTCGACGTCCTTTTTAGAGATAAACATATCTGATTGCTAAAAATCAGAATCAAGCTAAGGATACTCAAGCTTAGAGTTTAGTGAATATTCAAAGCAATTCAATTTTACTTTGCCATCTTTTAAGTATATGAATTCTAATGGCATTTGTTATAGACATATCGAATGTGCATGGATTTATTGTAGAATTTAAGCGATATTTAAGTAAAAAGGATTCCATAAGATCCTATCAGTTGATTATATCTATTATGCATTTTCAACCCAAAAATTAAAACTAACATGCAATTCATTTTAATTAGATTACACCCAATTTAATTCGAAATCTACAAGTTTCAGTACATAATCTTGATCGTTCAATATTGCCCAATTTATGAATTATTTCATTCTTTATATGATTTCTATAAAACTCTAACTTGAAGCCTTATTCGATATTATTTCATAGCACTAACGAGTTTTTTCTAATATCTATGGTTAGAAAGTATTTGTATATTTAATGAACTGCTTCATTACTTTTACAAATGTATAAATTGCTTTCATTTATTCATTATCTTTATTATATTCAATTTGATCGAAAAGCCATTCGATTAATTTTGTTACTTTCGGATTTTTTATTAATTGTTAATACTAATATAGAAATAGCCTCTTTAGAACCAATACAAAAGAAATCCTTTAGGCTATAGGTAATGTGCAATTTATAATCAATTCTTGTATGATTTAATTTTTAATATTTTGTATTGAATTGCGATGTTGAGGATAAAACTATTCATTATTCCCTATGATTTGATAGTGATGAAATCCGGAATAAGGAATGCAACCCGTAAAATAATAGAATAATGACACTCCAAAAGAGTACACATCATTCTTTCGACTCTAATAATTGCTGTTTATTAATTCAGGATCTCTATATGAAATGGTCATTTAATTTGATCTATCCCCTAGATGCTGAGACTCAAAAGAATACTTGGACATTCCAAAGTCAATAATAACAGGATTATTCTTAGAATCAACTAAAACATTTTCAGGTTTCAGATCTAAATGCAGTAATCTTCTTTCAAATTATAATGCTGCAAATCCTAAGGATAGTTTATAAATGAATTTTATCTTGTCTTTTTCATCCCAATCTTTAACCACCTAGTTATTATTATAAATTTTTGTGACTAGAACAATTTTAATCAATTTCGACTACCAATACAATTCTTCAAATTCAAATCCTAATTGTTCAATTTATAGACAATATTTATTCTTAGAAACAGTGTTATCGCAAAGGATGCAGATTTCTTGAAGAATATTTTCGAGTCTAGATTTCTCATCATCAAGCATGGTGTCTCCTATATCTTTATAATTAAACGAGATCACTTTTGCAGCATGAGGTTAACCCTAAAAATTCAATTTGTAGATTTAACCATTCCCTCCTTAACCAATCTACTATAGTTCTAAATCATTATTAATTAATTCTTAAATTTCATATTTAAGAAAAAGAGTTTTTTTTACGAATTCATCTAATAGCTATATTAATTGTGAATCCTATTCCAAACTTAATTTCCTTTTCAGGACACTATAAAACAATTTAATGTCTTATCTAATTGGAAAATCCAATTTCAATTTTGATTTAAAATATTCATCCTCCTTTGTAAAATCAGGAAATTAACCTGATTCCATTAAATTCGAGGATTGTCTTGATAACCTATCAAATTATTAGGAAAGAGGATCAGTTTATTTAGTCAGCTCTGAAGGTGTAGGTTATAAGGTTTGGAGGTACTTTTAAGCAATATTATAATACTGACCCTAATTTTATTAAGCTAATTCTTTAAAATAATTTATAGATTATGCATGAAGGCCTTTTTTTTTAAGATTACCCAGCTTTACACCTGGATTTTCAATCATTTAGTCCTCTTGGAACTTTAATAGGATTGCACAATTAAAATTGTTGTTCAAACTGCTTAATTGTTAATAGACTCCGATGGCTTCTTCAAATTTACCTTAATACTCTAAAATCTATCCAATTATTTCGTGGTTCTTTGTTTACAATGCCAAGTTAAAGGCTTCCTCAAAATCATGCATAAAAATGTAGAGAAATGGTTTCAATTTCAAATCAAAGAAACCGTTTTAAGCAAGTAAAACTCTCAGTAGCGGATATAGATTGGGGTTAAAATATTGTAACACGCAAATATCTTCATGGCGAACTAAAGCATTTATTATAAGAATTTCCTGTACAGCTCTATAGTAACTTTTAATTTTTGTAAATTATTAGTTCCTTCCTTTAGGAGAATTAAAAAAGGAAGTAATGTTAGATAAAAAATTGGATCTCTGTCGTATGATGCCTTGCCTCTCCTAACAAATTGATTCAGTCTAATTCAGTATAAATACTAATTGTTTCTTCCCTTAATTTTCCTTAAATATGATTTCCTGTTTATCAGCAAGTTTCCAGAATGAGTATTACAGCACATTGAAAATTCTTTTTTAGGTTATACTATCACGTTAAAGGATGATTGGATCAATTTGACTCTTGATATATTTTCTCAACTTAGTCGAATTTGTATAGACGCTCATCAACAATTACAGAAATAGACATTAATGGTAGATTGACCTATTCTTCGGGTAATAAAAGTTATTTTAGCGTTGCTATATTTAGATGTTTAAGTTTTTGAGTTTCTCCTATAGTCCATCAATTTCTCCTTTCAAAAATTAGATTTTACAAATCTTAAAAGAGATGTAGATGCTATATTCTTTTTCTCTGCCTTAATNTAGATTTAACCATTCCCTCCTTAACCAATCTACTATAGTTCTAAATCATTATTAATTAATTCTTAAATTTCATATTTAAGAAAAAGAGTTTTTTTTACGAATTCATCTAATAGCTATATTAATTGTGAATCCTATTCCAAACTTAATTTCCTTTTCAGGACACTATAAAACAATTTAATGTCTTATCTAATTGGAAAATCCAATTTCAATTTTGATTTAAAATATTCATCCTCCTTTGTAAAATCAGGAAATTAACCTGATTCCATTAAATTCGAGGATTGTCTTGATAACCTATCAAATTATTAGGAAAGAGGATCAGTTTATTTAGTCAGCTCTGAAGGTGTAGGTTATAAGGTTTGGAGGTACTTTTAAGCAATATTATAATACTGACCCTAATTTTATTAAGCTAATTCTTTAAAATAATTTATAGATTATGCATGAAGGCCTTTTTTTTTAAGATTACCCAGCTTTACACCTGGATTTTCAATCATTTAGTCCTCTTGGAACTTTAATAGGATTGCACAATTAAAATTGTTGTTCAAACTGCTTAATTGTTAATAGACTCCGATGGCTTCTTCAAATTTACCTTAATACTCTAAAATCTATCCAATTATTTCGTGGTTCTTTGTTTACAATGCCAAGTTAAAGGCTTCCTCAAAATCATGCATAAAAATGTAGAGAAATGGTTTCAATTTCAAATCAAAGAAACCGTTTTAAGCAAGTAAAACTCTCAGTAGCGGATATAGATTGGGGTTAAAATATTGTAACACGCAAATATCTTCATGGCGAACTAAAGCATTTATTATAAGAATTTCCTGTACAGCTCTATAGTAACTTTTAATTTTTGTAAATTATTAGTTCCTTCCTTTAGGAGAATTAAAAAAGGAAGTAATGTTAGATAAAAAATTGGATCTCTGTCGTATGATGCCTTGCCTCTCCTAACAAATTGATTCAGTCTAATTCAGTATAAATACTAATTGTTTCTTCCCTTAATTTTCCTTAAATATGATTTCCTGTTTATCAGCAAGTTTCCAGAATGAGTATTACAGCACATTGAAAATTCTTTTTTAGGTTATACTATCACGTTAAAGGATGATTGGATCAATTTGACTCTTGATATATTTTCTCAACTTAGTCGAATTTGTATAGACGCTCATCAACAATTACAGAAATAGACATTAATGGTAGATTGACCTATTCTTCGGGTAATAAAAGTTATTTTAGCGTTGCTATATTTAGATGTTTAAGTTTTTGAGTTTCTCCTATAGTCCATCAATTTCTCCTTTCAAAAATTAGATTTTACAAATCTTAAAAGAGATGTAGATGCTATATTCTTTTTCTCTGCCTTAATGATTATTTGCAATATTTTGTAATTTTATATAAAATTTGAGAGCTTATTCCCAGAGTCTTAAATTTGATAAGCATTTTCCAACCAAGAGTAATCTCAAAAAAAGATTATCCTAAATATCTGATAGATCCATAATTTGATTCAACAGTAACTCTTACACAGAAGGTCTCTTGGAATAAAAGAAATTTTGAAATTGCATATGATCCAATCGAATCAAACTGAAAATAACAATGCATGCTTTCTCATTATGGAATCTATCAGTTAAATAACCATAATTATAGTTCTTTTCTATAAAGGAAATAGCCACTTTCATTTTTGAATTCTCTAATGAGGGTGGAATCTTTCCTCCATCCCTCTACTCTAAAAAATAATAAGAATTAGTAATGATCTATTATCTTTTTTGGAGTTTGAGATCAAAATATTTATCCTATGTTTTGGGCTAACTAATGGCAAATGGATAATAATCATAATAGAACATTTAATTTAATAATTCGAGCAATTTATGAGTACTAACGATCAAGTTAACTGTTTCCTCCAAAGTAGTAAATTGGATCTCCTTGAATTTATTTTTTAAGCTCATCTAAAACGTTACAAAATTTTCCTAGGCTGAAGGATCGTATTTACACTTCTAAGCCACAACCGCTAAAAACATTCCCCATTCACTCTAATTGAATAGATTTATACAATTATTAATATCCAAATTTTAGCCAATCACAAAAAGTATAAACCAAGGAATGACTTATATTAGTTATTAAGTATTATTTAGTTCGATTTCACTTAAAGCAATTAATATTTTCTCAGCAACTAGGTTATTCAACTCTTATTCACAATAATTATACACTCTTGCAATCTCATAATAAGAATCATCAAATATTATGGTGTACAATAAAGTAGCGATTTTTTAATTTGTTTTGTGATCTACCATATGATGTATTCTTTATTTGAGACGGAAGAAATAGTTCTGTTACAATTATTCTATTCTTTACTATTGATCTTGATCCATTTCGTAATTTAATTATTAAATATAATAGTGTTGAATTTTCATAGAATATTTCAAGCTATGTGAGAAGGAGGTTTCCAAACAGGAGGATACAGAAACTATTTAATTTAATTAACAACCTTTTATACAATAAACTATTTACATCATGACTCCAAAGCTTGGTATACTTATTTGGACTTAATTTTAGTTTATTCATTTTTATAGCCCATAGATTTTATTCCTTTTTTGACAATAGCACTTGCTTATTCCTTTTACTCCGACCTTGAACTGATCTATTTGACTACCCCTATCCATATCCTTATATTCTCTCCGTGTTATGAAAACTGTTGATTCCCTTCATCTTGGGAGATCCTGACGATCCAATGTTCTGGAAATGAGTACTATTTTTATTACTCTGATCTTGGAATGAGTGATTAATATTGTATTGAGTTGGATGTTTCTTATTCATGTTCAATTTAGGCAAAAATTACTTTTTGGATTCAGTTTAAATTGCAACACTTGAACTATGTTACCTCTGTGTCATTTCCAAAGATTAGACTTGTAGTTCCTAATCGAATAAACTCAACAAATCAAACTATTTTTAAATCATAGGTTGTTTTGGATGGAATTACATATCATGATGACTAGTATTATGGGAAATATTTTGAGCTACAGTCTCCGCTTTAGACCCAAAAATATCCTTTTAAAATTGATCTCCAATCTCATCCAAATCTGGTTCTTCTGCTATTCTTGATTATATTTCCTAATTGTCAATTATTTCTTTAACTTTGTGTTACTAAGGAAAATCATTCAATGAAACCCTAACATTATCAAAAGACTGTAGCTAGTTCTATTTCCAATTCCCTTTCAAAACCAATTCATCGTACTAATATACTCCTTCTCCATCCATTAAACCATCTCTCCAATATCCCTTATAAATTGCCTTGTCAGTCCAAACTATCTATCCGTATCCACATCTTTTGTCCTCCATAAAATTCCCTGTATATATTGTACCATTGGCATATTCGAAAGTTCCTTCACCGCATTTCTTGTCATTTGCATAATATCCTTTATACCGATTTATCCCATTAGTTGTCTCACTTTACCAAGTTCCATAACCATTCCTCAACCCATTATCAAATTCCCCTTGATAATAATTCCCATTGCTCCAATAATACTCCCCTTTTCCATTAGGCTTTCCATTACGATACTCACCATTGTAAGAATCGCCATTCTCAAAATACTCCTTGCCCAAACCATGCTTCAGGTCGTTGATTACATCACCCACATATCTATTAATTTATTAATAATTTGAAATACATGCAGCCATTAACGTGTAAACAGAATCCATAACATCTTCCATTCTGCCATTAACCCAAATAATAGTCTGAATGAATCCCTTAATACCATCCAATCCCATGCTAATAAATTTATTCTCAAACATTACTTTTTTGCCCTAATGCCATTGACCAATGTATTTAAAACTTCTTGACCAAAACACTCCCTCTCCTTAAGGTAATCCATTTACATAGTTCCCGTAATAGTACTAATTGTTTTTGAGGACTTCAAATCCAACTCCTTCCTTTTTGTCCCTTTCAAAAGCACCTTCATACAATTGCAATTTCTATTTTATTAAAATGCCTTATCCTTATCGAAGTCCGTCAACTATACTTCCAAAAAATGCTGCATTTTTATAGAGTTTGATTTTGATATCTTAAGCCTAACTCAAATCAAGGATGATCGGCTTATAGTTTTTAAAAAATTCAATCACATTGTCTTGAGTCGGAAATTCATACTCACCTATTTGATTAGGTATAGGAAATTTGGTCTTTATTTGCTAAATTAGCACGTGATATTATTGCAGAACTGGGCTTTGATACACTTCTGAAAGTTATTCATAATGCCACTCATCTAAATCAGGGAATAATAGCTATATATTTTATTATTTTATCATTAATATAGATAATGTGAAACTAACCAACAACACCTTTAACGAACTATAGATGTTGTCATAGTATAAGAAATTATACTATAAAAAAATTCTAAAACATGTAATTGCTTCACCTCAGATTTTAGGACAGTTCATATGTTAATTTGGGCTATGGCACCTTAGCATCCATATAAAATTTTAATTTTCTGGCCATTACTCATTTTCTCACAAAAATCCTTATCCAAAACTTTAAACAATTTCTATTTGCTAAGAATAGGCTCCTTATTCATAATTTATTCATAGACTCTCTCTATATTGGACCAATCAAATTCAAAGCCTGCTTCGAAATCAGAAATTTCTTCTCCTTATTTAACATTCTAGATCTTAAGATTTTGAAGTTAAATGACACTAAGTTAAGTTTACTCTTGATTCTTTCTTCTAATTCATAATCTGAGACCCATTTTCCTGATATAGTTCTAAAATTCAAAAAATTTAAATCTACTTACTGTTTTTCAGAGTGCATTTTATTACTTATACAATCCTTTGAGTTTCAATAAATAACTTTGTAATTCCTGATCTTCTTATCTATACAATGTGATCTAAAGATGTTTAAAAGGTATTCTGTCTCTGTTAATTCATATTCTTAAAGAAACATTTGATAGAATCTAAAACCATTCTCTTAACATATTTGAATTAAACTAGTTAGCAATATTGTTTCATTTGTCAACTCCCTGCTAATTTTCCAGTCTCTGTCCTGACATCAGCCTCATAAAGGCATATAAATAAAATTCCAAAAATTAAATCTATTTCTCTTTATCACCATTATACTTACTTTTTCAATCATAGATGATGCTTATATTAGTTCTTTCTTTCTGTTTTTTGCTTTTGGTAAACTGTTTTTACTTGAATATTAAACAAACTTTAGATCGCTAAACAATAGAATTAAAAAACTTCAAAAAAAAAGAATTCTATTCAACTGTGTGATGTTTATGCTCATTTTAAAGTATGTCTTTGAATCTATTGATTTAAATAATCTTTGATTCAAGTCTGAAATTTTAACTATCACTTTGATTGCTTACTTAGTGAAGGTTTTATTTTTTAAAAATATAACATCTAGTACTCAAATAACAAATTTGTTTTTAGTTAAATGTTGATTTCATTAGGTTTGAATAATTAGGTTGCTAAGATCATTGACTCAATAGATCAAAGTGAGAAAATAAATTTTCAAAAAATATATATTCAGAATCAGTGGGCCTTTATTTCATTCTGCTTGCAAATACTTAAAATTATTGTGGCTTCCCTTAAACTGTATTCCAAAACTGAAAGCATTTTCAAATAACACAATAATTTATTTTTTAAGTTTATGAATTTGTCAGAAAAAAAATAAGATACACTTTCATTTTTTCTCTAAATAAACATGAAAGAATTTTTTAGGCTGTTTCTTGTTGACAGACAGCAAATTAAAATTTTAACTAATAATGTCTAGAATTAAATAGAATAAAATTTTATTTAATGCTTTAAATCCATCTTTTAAAACAACAAATTATCATTATTAAAAATAAAATAAATGAAAACACAACTTCTCATATTGGCAATCATTTCTTTAACTTACGCTTAAAGACTAAGCTTCAACGATGCAAATTGCAATAAATATTTGCTCAAGTTCGGAGCTGCTAATAATGCTGATGGATCTGGAGCCACAAAGTTGGCTTTTACAGGGGATGTTGCCTTTGTTACTGGATCCACTGACGTTAAGGTGAACCTTAGGTATTCCGATGTTGATCTTTTCAATGACCCAACATATTTCGGTCTTGTTTAAGAAGATGGAAAAACAGCAGCTACCACATGTCTTGATCTTAAGTTATGGAAATTCACTTCTAATACTTATTCTGACCCAGTTTAGGTTACTGATTTGCCCATTACAGGGACAAATAACTTCCAAAAACAATGGAGATATTATTCATTCACAATCCCAGGAAAGGATTTAGGAACTAGATTAGTTTAAACAACAAATTCCAATCAATTCATTTACAAAGGCTATTATGCTGTTGCTTATTATGCAGCAGGAACTGATTAAGTGTAATACACTTTCTTTTTTGAATTCTCTCTCACTGTTGACAAATCAAGTGGTGCTTCAGTTGACACAGCATTCAAGCCATTAACTTAAACAGCCACAGCAGGATGTGCTGTTGGTGCATCTTGCAACGCAAAAGCTGATACAATCTTAAAATGGTGCACAGATTTATAATGTACAGCATTTTCGCAACCAGATTTGCACTTGAACGACTAATTTGTTCTTCAATAGGTCGTCACCACTACAGGAATGAACTATTATTTGACTGGAACTGAAGTCTGGTACACCGGTAATGGATTGAATAAGAAAGCAACAATAGTTTCAGTTAATAATTCAGTCAAAGGGCAAGTAATTATCTAATTAAAGGCTGAAATTGCTTGGAGATCAGTCACTATCAAAGTTACCTCTACTTTATCAACAGCTTAAACAGGAGGAAGAAGACTTTTAACAGAATAAATTACCTATGATCCAGTAAGTGGACAAACAGATACAATAGAATGCATCAAGGCTGAAGGATCAGAAAAATGCCCAACATGCGATCAAGAAAAAGCTGCAAATGGATATTCCAGCGATGAATGTGTCGATGTAGATAATTCATCATCTAATGGGTATATTTTAGCAGCAGGATTATTTGCCATGTTTATCATGGTGTGATTATTTTTTATGTAGAGGCATTATAAACAAACTAATTATTTTTTACATCATTTTTTGAAAATATTAAATATCCTAAAAATTTTGAAATTTACATTAATATAGTATAGATTATAAATCGTTCAGAAAATCTTCAAATCATTTACTGATGATCGGGAGATTATGCAAAAGAGTAATCAAATATGAGAATTTAAAATTAATATATTCAGGTTTCTCCTTCAGCTGTTTAATCATTTTCTCCTTCTATTTTAACTCTTCTCCCATTTTCCCAAATTCCAGCTTTCCTCTCTCCAGTTTCAGTTATAATTACTCCTTTCCCATTTTACTTTCCTAAAGCCCATTCTCCTTCATATCTTTTACCGTTATTCCATGAAAAAACTCCTTGCCCATGTTTTTTATCATCTAAATAGTATCCTTTGTAGCTTTTCCCATCTAAGAAGATAAAAATCAACCATAAGTCGCAACCAGATTTGCACTTGAACGACTAATTTGTTCTTCAATAAGTCTTTACAACTACAGGTATGAACTATTATTTGACTGGAACTGAAGTGTGGTATACTGGTAATGGATTGAATAAGAAAGCAACAATAGTTTCAGTTAATAACTCAGTCAAAGGGCAAGTAATTATCTAATTAAAGGCTGAAATTGCTTGGAGATCAGTCACTATCAAAGTTACCTCCACTTTATCAACAACTTAAACAGGAGGAAGAAGACTTTTAACAGAATAAATTACCTATGATCCAGTAAGTGGACAAACAGATACAATAGAATGCATCAAGGCTGAAGGATCAGAAAAATGCCCAACATGCGATGAAGAAAAAGCTGCAAATGGATATTCCAGCGATGAATGTGTCGATGTAGATAATTCATCATCTAATGGGTATATTTTAGCAGCAGGATTATTTGCCATGTTTATCATGGTGTGATTATTTTTTATGTAGAGGCATTATAAACAAACTAATTATTTTTTACATCATTTTTTGAAAATATTAAATATCCTAAAAATTTTGAAATTTACATTAATATAGTATAGATTATAAATCGTTCAGAAAATCTTCAAATCATTTACTGATGATCGGGAGATTATGCAAAAGAGTAATCAAATATGAGAATTTAAAATTAATATATTCAGGTTTCTCCTTCAGCTGTTTAATCATTTTCTCCTTCTATTTTAACTCTTCTCCCATTTTCCCAAATTCCAGCTTTCCTCTCTCCAGTTTCAGTTATAATTACTCCTTTCCCATTTTACTTTCCTAAAGCCCATTCTCCTTCATATCTTTTACCGTTATTCCATGAAAAAACTCCTTGCCCATGTTTTTTATCATCTATATAGTATCCTTTGTAGCTTTTCCNTTGCTTATTATGCAGCAGGAACTGATTAAGTGTAATACACTTTCTTTTTTGAATTCTCTCTCACTGTTGACAAATCAAGTGGTGCTTCAGTTGACACAGCATTCAAGCCATTAACTTAAACAGCCACAGCAGGATGTGCTGTTGGTGCATCTTGCAACGCAAAAGCTGATACAATCTTAAAATGGTGCACAGATTTATAATGTACAGCATTTTCGCAACCAGATTTGCACTTGAACGACTAATTTGTTCTTCAATAGGTCGTCACCACTACAGGAATGAACTATTATTTGACTGGAACTGAAGTCTGGTACACCGGTAATGGATTGAATAAGAAAGCAACAATAGTTTCAGTTAATAATTCAGTCAAAGGGCAAGTAATTATCTAATTAAAGGCTGAAATTGCTTGGAGATCAGTCACTATCAAAGTTACCTCTACTTTATCAACAGCTTAAACAGGAGGAAGAAGACTTTTAACAGAATAAATTACCTATGATCCAGTAAGTGGACAAACAGATACAATAGAATGCATCAAGGCTGAAGGATCAGAAAAATGCCCAACATGCGATCAAGAAAAAGCTGCAAATGGATATTCCAGCGATGAATGTGTCGATGTAGATAATTCATCATCTAATGGGTATATTTTAGCAGCAGGATTATTTGCCATGTTTATCATGGTGTGATTATTTTTTATGTAGAGGCATTATAAACAAACTAATTATTTTTTACATCATTTTTTGAAAATATTAAATATCCTAAAAATTTTGAAATTTACATTAATATAGTATAGATTATAAATCGTTCAGAAAATCTTCAAATCATTTACTGATGATCGGGAGATTATGCAAAAGAGTAATCAAATATGAGAATTTAAAATTAATATATTCAGGTTTCTCCTTCAGCTGTTTAATCATTTTCTCCTTCTATTTTAACTCTTCTCCCATTTTCCCAAATTCCAGCTTTCCTCTCTCCAGTTTCAGTTATAATTACTCCTTTCCCATTTTACTTTCCTAAAGCCCATTCTCCTTCATATCTTTTACCGTTATTCCATGAAAAAACTCCTTGCCCATGTTTTTTATCATCTATATAGTATCCTTTGTAGCTTTTCCCATCTAAGAAGATAAAAATCAACCATAAGTCGCAACCAGATTTGCACTTGAACGACTAATTTGTTCTTCAATAAGTCTTTACAACTACAGGTATGAACTATTATTTGACTGGAACTGAAGTGTGGTATACTGGTAATGGATTGAATAAGAAAGCAACAATAGTTTCAGTTAATAACTCAGTCAAAGGGCAAGTAATTATCTAATTAAAGGCTGAAATTGCTTGGAGATCAGTCACTATCAAAGTTACCTCCACTTTATCAACAACTTAAACAGGAGCAAGAAGACTTTTAACAGAATAAACTACCTATGATCCAGTAAGTGGACAAACAGATACAATAGAATGCATCAAGGCTGAAGGAGCAGAAACATGTCCCAACTGTGAACAATAATGTAATGCTTAAGGTTTTGCTAGTGATAATTGCTCAGCATGCTCATCTTCAAGCATCATCACATTTGCTTTCATGGCTCTATTATTAGCATTTATAATTTGATTTATTAATATATGTTGAATCATTTACCATTATATCTTATTCACATTTTCTTAAATGATCGAGCGGATTAAACTAACAAGGTAATCTCAAAAGATTGTAAGTATTTAATGTAAATATGTCTTATGTAACAAAAATATATAATTTGCATAAAATATTAGGAAGTCTAAAAATAGTTATAGGTCCTTCTTAAATTTGAATTAAAAAGGAACCATTCTACATTTAGCAGTCACCAACCCTACTTTAATTTTTAGTATACTTGCGTAAAATAATTAAACAAATGTGAGATAGAATATATGCGTATATTTATAAGTTAAATAATAATCTTATGAATATTAATATTATAAATGAAAACAATAATCATTGTGGCACTCTTAATTGCTTTTTGCTTAGGGTAAAGACTAAGCTTCAACGATGCAAATTGCAATAAATATTTGCTCAAGTTCGGAACAGCTAATAATGCTGATGGATCTGGAGCCACAAAGTTGGCTTTTACAGGGGATGTTGCCTTTGTTACTGGATCCACAGATGTTAAGGTGAACCTTAGATATTCCGATGTTGATCTTTTCAATGACCCAACGTATTTCGGTCTTGTTTAAGAAGATGGAAAAACAGCAGCTACCACATGTCTTGATCTTAAGTTATGGAAATTCACTTCGAATACTTATTCTGACCCAGTTTAGGTTACTGATTTGCCCATTACAGGGACAAATAACTTCCAAAAACAATGGAGATATTATTCATTCACAATCCCAGGAAAGGATTTAGGAACTAGATTAGTTTAAACAACAAATTCCAATCAATTTATCTACAAAGGCTATTATGCTATTGCTTATTATGCAGCAGGAACTGATTAAGTGTAATACACTTTCTTTTTTGAATTCTCTCTCACTGTTGACAAATCAAGTGGTGCTTCAGTTGACACAGCATTCAAGCCATTAACTTAAACAGCCACAGCAGGATGTGCTGTTGGTGCATCTTGCAACGCAAAAGCTGATACAATCTTAAAATGGTGCACAGACTTAGCGTGCACAGCATTTGCTCAACCAGATTTGCACTTGAACGACTAGTTTGTTCTCCAATAAGTCGTTACAACTAGCGGTATGAACTATTATTTGACTGGAACTGAAGTATGGTATACTGGTAATGGATTGAATAAGAAAGCAACAATAGTTTCAGTTAATAATTCAGTCAAAGGTCAAGTAATTATCTAATTAAAGGCTGAAATTGCTTGGAGATCAGTCACTATCAAAGTTACCTCCACTTTATCCAACACCTAAACAGGAGCAAGAAGACTTTTAACAGAATAAATTACCTATGATTCAGTAAGTGGACAAACAGAACCTATAGAATGCATCAAGGCTGAAGGATCAGAAAAATGCCCAACATGCGATGAAGAAAAAGCTGCAAATGGATATTCCAGCGATGGATGTGTCGATGGAGATAATTCATCATCTAATGGGTATATTTTAGCAGCAGGATTATTTGCCATTTTTATCATGGTGTGATTATTTTTTATGTAGAGGCATTATAAACAAACTAATTATTTTTTACATCATTTTTTGAAAATATTAAATATCCTAAAAATTTTGAAATTTACATTAATATAGTATAGATTATAAATCGTTCAGAAAATCTTCAAATCATTTACTGATGATCGGGAGATTATGCAAAAGAGTAATCAAATATGAGAATTTAAAATTAATATATTCAGGTTTCTCCTTCAGCTGTTTAATCATTTTCTCCTTCTATTTTAACTCTTCTCCCATTTTCCCAAATTCCAGCTTTCCTCTCTCCAGTTTCAGTTATAATTACTCCTTTCCCATTTTACTTTCCTAAAGCCCATTCTCCTTCATATCTTTTACCGTTATTCCATGAAAAAACTCCTTGCCCATGTTTTTTATCATCTATATAGTATCCTTTGTAGCTTTTCCCATCTAAGAAGATAAAAATCAACCATAAGTCGCAACCAGATTTGCACTTGAACGACTAATTTGTTCTTCAATAAGTCTTTACAACTACAGGTATGAACTATTATTTGACTGGAACTGAAGTGTGGTATACTGGTAATGGATTGAATAAGAAAGCAACAATAGTTTCAGTTAATAACTCAGTCAAAGGGCAAGTAATTATCTAATTAAAGGCTGAAATTGCTTGGAGATCAGTCACTATCAAAGTTACCTCCACTTTATCAACAACTTAAACAGGAGCAAGAAGACTTTTAACAGAATAAACTACCTATGATCCAGTAAGTGGACAAACAGATACAATAGAATGCATCAAGGCTGAAGGAGCAGAAACATGTCCCAACTGTGAACAATAATGTAATGCTTAAGGTTTTGCTAGTGATAATTGCTCAGCATGCTCATCTTCAAACATCATCACATTTGCTTTTGTGCTTTTGCTTTTAATATTGGTTTGATATATTTTTCATACAAATTGTCCTATACAAAAAATTTCCTTTTTATCAAATTCTCAGTATTCTAAACCAAATATTACTATGTAATAAAGTATTGTTATTTTTGCTTCCTTCATCTCCTATATATTATTTTCAACTATTTGATCTCTAAATATTCAAATGTCGATGAATTTTAAACACTGTATTATTTTATAAACTTAATTATGTATAAACTAAGTTCTTATAGTAATTCATTACTTGAAAATATTATGCTTCCCCTTTGAAGATACATTTTTATTTTCAGAATCAAGTTTTATAAACTAATTATTATTAAATTCATATTTCTCCAATTTAAAAATGAGTTAATCTGATTTAGATAGACAAATAGCTTAATTAAGGAACTGTGAAAACATAACTGAGGGGGAAGTTAAAGCACTGTGTACTAAGGCTAGAGAAATTCTGGTTGAGGAAAGTAATGTGCAGCGAGTCGATGCCCCAGTTACGGTAAAATATTATTAATATCAGATCTGTGGTGATATTCATGGCCAATTCTTTGATTTAATGGAATTATTTAAAGTAGGAGGGGATTGCCCTGATACTAACTATTTATTCTTAGGCGACTTTGTTGATAGAGGATTTAACAGCGTGGAAACATTTTTATTATTATTAGCTCTGAAAGTTCGTTATCCGGACAGAATAACATTGTAAAATAATCATTTTATATAGAATACGAGGGAATCATGAATCTAGATAAATTACTTAAGTTTATGGCTTCTATGATGAATGTCTTAGAAAATATGGGTCATTAAATGTTTGGAGATATTGCACAGACATTTTTGATTATTTGAGTTTGGCTGCTGTTATAGAAGAGAAGATATTTTGTGTACATGGTGGATTATCACCTTCAATAAAGACAATGGATGATGTTTTAGAAATTTATTTATGTAGATTCGAGCAATCGATCGTAAATAAGAAGTACCTCATGATGGAGCTATGTGTGACTTGATGTGGAGCGATCCTGACGGTATCTTGATTTTAGAATTATTTAGAAATTGAGGGATGGAATTTATCTCCAAGAGGGGCAGGCTATTTATTCGGTGGAGACGTAGTGGATGATTTCAATAGAAAAAATAATATTGAATTGATATGTCGAGCTCATCAATTAGTGATGGAAGGATACAGAGTTATGTTTAATGAATAATTAGTGACAGTCTGGAGTGCACCTAATTATTGTTATAGGTAATTTTTGATATTTATTCAGATGCGGGAATGTTGCTTCAATTCTTGAATTAGATGAAAACCTTGCTAAATCCTATAAAATATTTGAAGCGGCCCCACAAGAAAACAGAGGATTGCCAGCCAAGAAACCAATTCCTGATTATTTTTTATGAATAAATATTTATGAGTGATTTAGATTAATGGATAGCTAAGCTAAAGAATTGCCAATTTTTACCTGAACAAGAAGTGATTCAATTATGTACGAAAGCAAAAGAAATTCTTATTTCTGAAAGTAATGTCGAGGTTGTTCATACTCCCGTCACAGTAATGTTTTTCATTTATTAGGTTTGTGGGGATATTCATGGACAATTTCATGATCTAATTGAATTATTTAAAGTTGGAGGAGATTGCCCAGGCACCAATTACCTTTTTTTAGGAGATTTAGTTGACCGCGGATTTAATAGTGTTGAAACATTTCTTTTACTATTAGCATTCAAAGTGCGTTTTCCAGATAGAATCACAATGTAATGGTTACAAATATTATTAAGAATAAGAGGAAATCATGAATCGAGGTAAACAACTTAAGTTTACGGATTTTATGATGAATGTCAACGCAAATATGGCTCTGCAAATGTTTGGAGGTATTGCACTGATGTTTTTGATTATCTCACAATTAGCGCAGTCATTGAAAACAGGGTATTTTGTGTTCATGGAGGATTGTCTCCGAATATTGTTGAGATAGATGATGTAAGCTTTATGTGTAATTATTTTTAAGGTGAAGTCTTTAGATCGAAAGTAGGAAATTCCACATGAAGGAGCTATGTGTGATCTATTGTGGAGCGATCCTGAAGATATTAATGGATGGGGAGTTTCTCCAAGAGGAGCCGGATATATATTTGGAGGAGATATTACTACAGAATTCAATAAAACTAATAGTTATGATTTCATATGTAGAGCTCATCAACTCGTTTTAGAAGGATACAAAACAATGTTTGACGATTAATTAATAACAGTATGGAGTGCTCCAAATTACTGTTATCGCGTTGGAAATTAAGCATCAATATTAGAGTTAGATGATAATTTAGAAAAAAAATTCAAAATTTTCTTAGCAGCTAATGTAGAATAAAGAGGACTGATTGGAAGGCATCCTGTGCCTGATTATTTTTTGTGATAGATATTATTATATATACTCAATCAATAAAAGTTTTCATTCTCCTACTATTCATGCTGCGATATGAATTTGGGCTATGAGTTCGAATATTAATAATTGTTTAAGTATCTTCATTCTTTTAATGGGTAGCCACTTTCAGCTTTATTCTTTTGATAAACTTTCCCATTGTTGTTGGACTACTCAATACCTTATGGTGATTGAATTATTAAGAGTTATTAATATTTAATTCATTTTATTAACCGCAACATTGAGTAAGCATACCATTCATCTACTCTAATTCTTATTCATTTGCTGATTTTCGAAATTAATTGTTATTGCTAGCAAATCGGAAAAACTATTTATGGTAAAATCTTTTTTTAAAGTAATTTTAAGAAACGAATTTCTTTTGATCAAAAAATGTCTTCACCTAAGCATAAGAACAATTTCTATCTTTAAGTAACTTTGTAAATTGTTCTATTGCTTATTTTTCTTATTATTTAAATTCATCATATTGCCTGTCCTTTAAAATATCATCATTAGTATTTCTTGAAGTTAATAGATTATATTTTTGCACGTAACTTTTTTTTAAAGGGATTGGCAGGTGTATTTGCTCTTCAAGTTTCTTTCTTTTATTATCAATTTCTTTAATCAATTCATCTGCTTTAATCGATCTGAAATGATGGATGGATGATAGCAATTACAAAAAGACGACCTACGTTTTGCTATCCCAGAAACGTCTCTTCATATATGTATAATCTTACTTCTAAATATCTTCTCTTGTAATCTTATAAGCAACCCCTATTTCACTTTTACAAACGATATCATATTTTGTTTTACCCCACTAAACAAATATGGAGGATTTGATCAAAAATTAGCCTTCCTTGCTCAAAAATGCTTCTTATCCGAAAGATTCTCCTGGTCCTAAAGTGCATCTAATTATAAATATCGAATTTAATACATACTGCATAGCTTGTTTTTATAAGAGAACTAGACTTAAAATTCACCATCTCTTACAACATAAAAGTGATTGCAATACTCATTCTATTTAATTATTGCTTAATTAAGGGTTACTGTAACAGGTTCAAAGTGATAACTGATTGTTTTTATTTCTCTAAAAGACCAAGAACTAAAAAATGGAAATGAGCATAAGAATGAAATCTTATTTTAGATTTTCGCAATTTCTTAGGCTCCTAAGATAGATTTGTAGTGATGTTTCTCCATTACTGCGAAAACACAATCTTCTTTTGCTACAATCGTTGCTGTTCTTTTCGCGTCATTAATTAGGGCAAGTTCTCCAAAGCTTGCACCAGCTTTCAATATGTTGACTTCTTTGAGCTCAAATTATAGAGGATCATCTGGGTTAGGCAATCGAATATTAATTCCCACAGATCCTCTTAGGATAACATAAAAAAGACTGCCGGAATCTCCTACTTTAAAGAGTATCTAAGAGGAATATGATTATATTTTACATCTCCTGATTTAATAGTTCGATATGAGAGTACTTATATGCATCGTTGAAGCATTTCAGGTGATTATTCACCAAGTTCTCTAAAAAATGTTATGGTGAGTGCAAAGATTAAAAGATGGTTAAGTTCTTCAGGACTTCTGCGTATTGGTGTAATTTGAAGAATGCGAATGCATTCAGCAAATAATTATTGCTTATCCATTTTAATTAAAATAATGTGGAAAGGTTATTTGAGTATATTTGGGGGTTTCCTAACCCATCTTGTTACAGGTGGATTTTATTGTATGCTTCATTTATGAGAGTAGTTTGGGGAAATATTTCCATGAACGTGAGTTCTTACTATCGTTTCAATGGTTATCCAGATATTGAAACAAAGACTGTTTCTGCAGTCTTTCCAGCCATATACTTTGGGATCGCTATAGGTAGTCAACTTGGCATTCATTTGGCTCGGCGTTTTGGTCATAAGTTGGTTAGTGTAGCAAATATGTTGTGCTATTGTGCATCTATGTATGCAGCAACATATAGCAACTTTTACTTTTTTGTTTTCTTTTAAGGTTTATTACCAGGGGTTTTCATTGGAATTGAGTACTTAATTCCAGTAGACAATGCATTGAAATTTTTTCCTTCAAAAAAAGGCATGGTTACAGGATTAATACTTTGTGGATTTGGATTCACTCCACTTGTTTTTAATCCAATATTATAGAGGCTATTAAATCCAGACAATATTCTTCCTGTAAATGGGTACTATCCTGAAGAAGTTGCTGAAAATCTGATGAGCAGTTTAAGAATCGTTACCACCATTTATCTAGGAATGGGATTGATCGGAGCATTTTTGATGTAATCAATAAAATAAAGTGACGATCATAATGACGACACATATAATCAGTAAACTTAATTAATAATATCAATAGGAAATTAATCTAAAATGACGCACAAGTTGGTGTAAATTCTTAATTTGAAATTCTCAAGACAAAAGAGTTCTGGTTAAGTACTTTTTAGGTATTTTGTTTAACTGGTTTTGGATTCATCCTTATCTCTCATTATAAGGAGTTTGGTATCGTTCATATACCAGATGACTAATTTTTTTCATTGGTTGGTATGATAGGTGGATTTACAAATGGGTAACAGTAATTCATTATGAAAATAGGTTGTCTCGTTTCCTATGGAGTTACTTGCTTGACTTTATCAATTACAAATATCTTGTATTTTTCAACATCATAATGGCTATGACTTTGGCAGCAACAATAAATCTGATTGCTGATTCAAAAGTTCTATTTATGATGTGGATTATATTTACTTATTTACAGTATGGTGGTTTGTACACATTGTTCCCTGGAATATGCACAAAAGTATTCATATATTAAGATTATATAGTAATTTGGTACAAAGTTCGGTCCTTTGGCATTCAACATGGCATTTAATAGCATCCCTTTTTCAAATTTGACTTAATTTCTGTTAACGCTGTATCTTCATGACCAATTCATGAATGGCCGGTTGTTTTACCTCTATGTTATAATCAACTTTCTAGCTCTTGTTATTTAAGTCTATTTGCTAGTAACCGAAAGATCGCGTAAAAAGTTAAGCAGCGTAAATTATACCGAATGAATTATCTAAAAAATAGTAATGGCAACTTAATATATTTATATATATATATTAATATTATATGGGTAGTTGTAATTGCATTCCAAAAAAGTTAGGAGAAGAAGAAATATAGACACAAAGAGGAGGAAGCGAACACTAGATATTGGATAAAGTGAAACAATAGGATGCACAAACTTTTACTCATGGTTGATTTATATATTCTTATTCAGAGGACAATAAACCAGCTAATGATGAATCTTAATAACTTGTTCAGAGTACGAAAGGAATTCGGCAAAAGCTACCCAGAATAAGCATGCTTAATGGAGGTTATTATGAAGGTGAGTGGTTCAATTGTATGAGGGATGGCTTTGGATTGCATGTAAAGTTGAAAAATTTATTTGAGTGTTGGGCTGATGGAGGTTTTTATGAAGGGGAATGGAAGGCTGATAAAGCTGAGGGTAAAGGGAAATTAGGTATCTCCGTTATCATCAGCATTTTTAGTCCATGGAGATGGCGATGTTTATGAAGGATAATGGGCAAATGATATGGCAAATGGGGTAGGTACATATGTGCATGTTGGTGGTGCTAAATACGAAGGAGAGTGGTTGAATGATTAGTAACATGGAAAAGGAGTTGAAGTTTGGCCTGATGGCTCTAAATATGAAGTATTAATCCTTCTAATTCTAAAGGGAATGTACACATTTGGAAAAAAAAATGGAAAGGGAAAACTTTAATTTGCAGATAATAGCATTTATGAGGGAGATTTTTTGGACAATGAAATAAGTGGTGTTGGTAAATACACCTGGAATGATGGGAAAACGTATACAGGTAATTGGTTAAACAATAAGATGAATGGATATGGTGAAACAGTATGGCCAGATGGGAAAAGCTACAAAGGATACTATTTAGATGATAAAAAACATGGGCAAGGAGTGTTTTCATGGAATAACGGTAAAAGATATGAAGGAGAATGGGCTTTAGGAAAGTAAAATGGGAAAGGAGTAATTATAACTGAAACTGGAGAGAGGAAAGCTGGAATTTGGGAAAATGGGAGAAGAGTTAAAATAGAAGGAGAAAATGATTAAACAGCTGAAGGAGAAACCTGAATATATTAATTTTAAATTCTCATATTTGATTACTCTTTTGCATAATCTCCCGATCATCAGTAAATGATTTGAAGATTTTCTGAACGATTTATAATCTATACTATATTAATGTAAATTTCATAATTTTTAGGATATTTAGTATTTTAAAAAAATGATGTAAAAAATAATTAAATAATTAGTTTGTTTATAATGCCTCTACATAAAAAATAATCACACCATGATAAAAATGGCAAATAATCCTGCTGCTAAAATATACCCATTAGATGATGAATTATCTACATCGACACATTCATCGCTGGAATATCCATTTGCAGCTTTTTCTTGATCGCATGTTGGGCATTTTTCTGATCCTTCAGCCTTGATGCATTCTATTGTATCTGTTTGTCCACTTACTGGATCATAGGTAATTTATTCTGTTAAAAGTCTTCTTCCTCCTGTTTAAGCTGTTGATAAAGTAGAGGTAACTTTGATAGTGACTGATCTCCAAGCAATTTCAGCCTTTAATTAGATAATTACTTGCCCTTTGACTGAATTATTAACTGAAACTATTGTTGCTTTCTTATTCAATCCATTACCGGTGTACCAGACTTCAGTTCCAGTCAAATAATAGTTCATTCCTGTAGTGGTGACGACCTATTGAAGAACAAATTAGTCGTTCAAGTGCAAATCTGGTTGCGAAAATGCTGTACATTATAAATCTGTGCACCATTTTAAGATTGTATCAGCTTTTGCGTTGCAAGATGCACCAACAGCACATCCTGCTGTGGCTGTTTAAGTTAATGGCTTGAATGCTGTGTCAACTGAAGCACCACTTGATTTGTCAACAGTGAGAGAGAATTCAAAAAAGAAAGTGTATTACACTTAATCAGTTCCTGCTGCATAATAAGCAATAGCATAATAGCCTTTGTAGATAAATTGATTGGAATTTGTTGTTTAAACTAATCTAGTTCCTAAATCCTTTCCTGGGATTGTGAATGAATAATATCTCCATTGTTTTTGGAAGTTATTTGTCCCTGTAATGGGCAAATCAGTAACCTAAACTGGGTCAGAATAAGTATTCGAAGTGAATTTCCATAACTTAAGATCAAGACATGTGGTAGCTGCTGTTTTTCCATCTTCTTAAACAAGACCGAAATACGTTGGGTCATTGAAAAGATCAACATCGGAATATCTAAGGTTCACCTTAACATCTGTGGATCCAGTAACAAAGGCAACATCCCCTGTAAAAGCCAACTTTGTGGCTCCAGATCCATCAGCATTATTAGCTGTTCCGAACTTGAGCAAATATTTATTGCAATTTGCATCGTTGAAGCTTAGTCTTTACCCTAAGCAAAAAGCAATTAAGAGTGCCACAATGATTATTGTTTTCATTTATAATATTAATATTCATAAGATTATTATTTAACTTATAAATATACGCATATATTCTATCTCACATTTGTTTAATTATTTTACGCAAGTATACTAAAAATTAAAGTAGGGTTGGTGACTGCTAAATGTAGAATGGTTCCTTTTTAATTCAAATTTAAGAAGGACCTATAACTATTTTTAGACTTCCTAATATTTTATGCAAATTATATATTTTTGTTACATAAGACATATTTACATTAAATACTTACAATCTTTTGAGATTACCTTGTTAGTTTAATCCGCTCGATCATTTAAGAAAATGTGAATAAGATATAATGGTAAATGATTCAACATATATTAATAAATCAAATTATAAATGCTAATAATAGAGCCATGAAAGCAAATGTGATGATGCTTGAAGATGAGCATGCTGAGCAATTATCACTAGCAAAACCTTAAGCATTACATTATTGTTCACAGTTGGGACATGTTTCTGCTCCTTCAGCCTTGATGCATTCTATTGTATCTGTTTGTCCACTTACTGGATCATAGGTAGTTTATTCTGTTAAAAGTCTTCTTGCTCCTGTTTAAGTTGTTGATAAAGTGGAGGTAACTTTGATAGTGACTGATCTCCAAGCAATTTCAGCCTTTAATTAGATAATTACTTGCCCTTTGACTGAGTTATTAACTGAAACTATTGTTGCTTTCTTATTCAATCCATTACCAGTATACCACACTTCAGTTCCAGTCAAATAATAGTTCATACCTGTAGTTGTAAAGACTTATTGAAGAACAAATTAGTCGTTCAAGTGCAAATCTGGTTGCGACTTATGGTTGATTTTTATCTTCTTAGATGGGAAAAGCTACAAAGGATACTATTTAGATGATAAAAAACATGGGCAAGGAGTGTTTTCATGGAATAACGGTAAAAGATATGAAGGAGAATGGGCTTTAGGAAAGTAAAATGGGAAAGGAGTAATTATAACTGAAACTGGAGAGAGGAAAGCTGGAATTTGGGAAAATGGGAGAAGAGTTAAAATAGAAGGAGAAAATGATTAAACAGCTGAAGGAGAAACCTGAATATATTAATTTTAAATTCTCATATTTGATTACTCTTTTGCATAATCTCCCGATCATCAGTAAATGATTTGAAGATTTTCTGAACGATTTATAATCTATACTATATTAATGTAAATTTCATAATTTTTAGGATATTTAGTATTTTAAAAAAATGATGTAAAAAATAATTAAATAATTAGTTTGTTTATAATGCCTCTACATAAAAAATAATCACACCATGATAAAAATGGCAAATAATCCTGCTGCTAAAATATACCCATTAGATGATGAATTATCTCCATCGACACATCCATCGCTGGAATATCCATTTGCAGCTTTTTCTTCATCGCATGTTGGGCATTTTTCTGATCCTTCAGCCTTGATGCATTCTATAGGTTCTGTTTGTCCACTTACTGAATCATAGGTAATTTATTCTGTTAAAAGTCTTCTTGCTCCTGTTTAGGTGTTGGATAAAGTGGAGGTAACTTTGATAGTGACTGATCTCCAAGCAATTTCAGCCTTTAATTAGATAATTACTTGACCTTTGACTGAATTATTAACTGAAACTATTGTTGCTTTCTTATTCAATCCATTACCAGTATACCATACTTCAGTTCCAGTCAAATAATAGTTCATACCGCTAGTTGTAACGACTTATTGGAGAACAAACTAGTCGTTCAAGTGCAAATCTGGTTGAGCAAATGCTGTGCACGCTAAGTCTGTGCACCATTTTAAGGTTGTATCAGCTTTTGCGTTGCAAGATGCACCAACAGCACATCCTGCTGTGGCTGTTTAAGTTAATGGCTTGAATGCTGTATCAACTGAAGCACCAGTTGCTTTATCAATAGTGACAGAGAATTCAAAATAGAAAGTGTATTAAACTTAATCAGTTCCTGCAGCATAATATGCAATAGCATAAAAGCCTTTGTAGATAAATTAATTAGAATTTGTTGTTTAAACTAATCTTGTTCCTAACTCCTTTCCTGGAATTGTGAATGTATAGTATCTCCATTGCTTATTGAAGTTGTTTGATGCGGTTATCGGTAAATCAGTAACTAAAGATGCATCTGAATAGGAGTTTGAAGTGAATTTCCATAACTTAAGATCAAGACATGTGGTAGCTGCTGTTTTTCCATCTTCTTAAACAAGACCGAAATATGTTGGGTCATTGAAAAGATCAACATCGGAATATCTAAGGTTCACCTTAACATCTGTGGATCCAGTAACAAATGCAACATCTCCTGTAAAAGCCAACTTTGTAGCTCCAGTTCCATCAGCATTATTAGCTGTTCCAAATTTTTGTAAATATTTATTGCAGTTATCAGAGTTAAAATCAAGCCTTTACCCTAAGCAAAAAGTAATTAAGAATGCCACAATGATTATTGTTTTCATGTTAATTAAAATAATATTATAATCTCATTTAAAACCAAGCTAAAATCCTAAAATTTTAAATATTTTTAATCGATATTCTATTTAAAAAACAATCCCTAATCAATCATTTTTTTCCTTTTTTTTTCAAAACCATTTTGAAATAGAGATTTTTAAGAATTTAATCAACTATCCATCCTAATTGTCATCAATTAAAGAACCCATTTTATTATCTTCCAATTTTTAATATTATTTTCTTCTTGTTAAAAGGCTTTCTATTTTTTTGTCGCTTGATCTACTAATCTTTCATCCTAATGTTAGCTTCTTTGCATTCTACTATTGGATTTAAATAGATAGAATTTATTCTGACTATTTTATTATTATAAAAAGGGAATAAAAATTGGCGCCAAATTTATTCAATGTTTACTTTATTTTAATACTGCTGTAAGTATTGTAATAGTTTATTAGAATTTTAAGCTAATCGATTACAAAATAATATAATAAAGATATTGTAGAAAACAATTCTCATAATTATGAATTTTGGTCTTCTTCTACATTATTAAATGGCCATTAGAATAGACGTAATTATAGATGGAGCTAGTCTAATGGAATGAAATAAACAACTTAAGAAATGTAAGAAATATAAAATGAGATTTCATGAATTTACCAATATAGTTCAATGGTTGCTTAAAAATCAGATTCTATTTAGTTCATATTTTTGTTTATTCAAAATGATTTATAAAGTTTCATTACTATTTCTTTAAAATGAATTTTCTATGATTGTAATCTAGTTATCTGATTAATTTTTAATCATGTCCTTTAACTTTAGGATATGCCATTGATCAAAATATTAATAACTTATCTCCAAGCAATTTCAGGAACAAAGGAGATAACTCAGCACTTTTGTTTGAAATTATTAAAACTACATTTCCATTAATTAATCAATCCCTTTAACCTCATTTGACATAATAATATTCTTAGAATAAAACATCTTAACAAAGATGTAAAACTTAATATCTATTCATCTAAATTCAATCGCATAAATGGAAGGAAATAATTTAAAATGAATTATAGGATCTCTTTGAATAGTGATGACTTTAAGATAAAAAAAAGTTGATTTCTAAATTTATATTACGAATATCAAATAGAATATCGATTAAAAATATATAAAAATAAAGGATATAAGCATGATTTAAAATGAGACTATAGATTTAATTTAATTA